ATGGGTTGAAGCTGAGATGGCGGCTACCTCCTTGTCCTGCTGCTTTTTCAGATATCTCTGTGCTGTTGAGCTCACGATCTTGAAGAAGAAGTTGAGGAGCATGAGCCACACCACAGTGTTCCAAATTGCAGCAAATGAGAGATCCCATTTTTTACCCTGTTGGATAAAAACATACAAATGAATGGATAAATCGAAACAGCCTATGTATAAGTATTTGGATGATGTATGCTCTTTAAAGTTAAGTACCTTGGTACTGGGGAGAGCAGGGGTTGGTGTGAGGAACTTTTCTCTCATCTCATGGAGTTTGGTTATCACATTGGGCAGGATCGACGCCAACCCAGGTACAAAACTCAGCATCCAAATCATCTCGTTCTCTATCCAGTTAAGGAGTTGATTATTGCAAACACAGATTATGAATACCGTCTGCAGACAGAAGAAACAGTGTGAACAATAAGAATTGTATCATATAATATCAAAGGACTCTATGACGCGACTGTTATGGTTCTGGAAGAGAAGCAGCAATCAATGCCTCTGTTGCTCCTCTTATCTAAGACTAAAAATCATTTGAAAAATTAAGAAAATGAGACTTTCGAAAATAATAACACGGACAAACCTGTATGTGTGTCTTAATGATAGCCTTGCCAATCACTGTTGAAAGGAAGAACTTCCAGAATGGGATCCCAAATTGTCCACACATGATACCGGCTAGGTCAAATAGGGGATTTGGCACCTGAAAATCAATTTTCAAGGATGTCAAGCAGATGAGCAAATCATAAAACAATCGGAGGTAACTATTCTCAAGGAGTTCGCAGAGAAAAAACTAACCGAAGCAAGCACCAAAATTGTGAAGAAGTTCAGATGCTGTGCATGTGACATAAGCCAGCGTTTGATCGTCTTCAGGTGTGTTGCTATGACTCCATCATCTTCAGCAGATGTTGCCTCCAATTCCTCCATTGCATCAAATTTGCTGCCCGATAAACGTGCTACATGCAGTAAGTAATTCACACGTTTACTAGTCAGTTGGGTCCAAAATGAGAGCGTTAAATTCATGTGAAATGTCAACATCATAGGATGCCTATGGTAAGTATACCGTTTTACTCAACTGATAGGGTTCAATTGGAGATTTAGCCAAACTGGAGTAAATAGTAGAAGTGAATGTGGGGGGAAAAGTTACTAATACAGGTGAATTTGTGAACTCTTCCATTTTGCCGACTTTTTTAGGGTAGATGAAATTTACTAAGATACGTGAGTTGCAGTTAAAAGACAAAAATGATGACAGAAACTTTTGAGTTTCATTGGAGGTAAAAGGGGTAGTTGGAAATACAGAAAGGAATGCAAAGTGGGGTTCAGAACATTCTTCAATTAAGTTTTAGCCAGAGATGTTGGAAGGCGTCTATCTGATGAGAAGTTAGCTACTCGATCAACAGGAGGCGCCAACTGGTTTGAATCAAATGGAAGTTATCCGTGGGACAACATAGAACAATAAACATGATTAACTAGGAGTTCATTAGAACTAGTGCATACCAGCTCTTGAGATGAAGTAAGGAGGTAGCTCTCCAAGTGCAGTTCCAACACCCCACAAGACAGCTTCTATCTGGACCTGTGGCAATATGCTGCTCAGCGGCACCCGCAACAAATTGGATGACTGAAATACTGGGTCACCAAACTCATCACAATCTTTATCAAGCCACGAAGGACCTCTATCGAGCTGTATGGTATCATATATGGCGCTCTTTAAATCAACTCGGCCACACTGCATTGCCTTTATTGTGAACAGGGCAATATGAGGACCCAGATAAAGGACAAAAGTGTGCAGACCAGATCCTGAAACAGAAAAAAAAAAAAACAAAAAACAAAATATCAGAAATCAGGGGAGATTTTGAGATGCTATTTGAATGATAGTACTATAAAATCAGAAAAGAAGGTTACATCAGTGTTTTATCTAGAATCCTGATACTGCTTTATGAAATATAGCAGCCGGAGGATAATGATTAGAAGTGTAAGTGGGATTAGAAGTATTTTTTAATTTTTACGGAAAATAGGTCACCAACATTCAAAGTTATACAACTGTTTCTGTTTCATACCTCTGGCTATGTTCCTTTTGATAGGCAGTAAAACTCTAACCATAGATAAAAAAAAAAAAGATTGTGACAGAAAGTTCTAATCAGAGGAAACACAAATTGTTCGGTTGAATAATTACAGCCTTATGATTGTTCAGAGACAATTGAAATGCTAGATAGGGAATTGCCTGAAAGTATCCAAGGAGCACAAAAGAATTCCGAGCCCATAAAAATATTAGAATTTTGGAAGTAACAGGAAAACAAGAACCATTTAAAACCCAGTAGAATAACATTGCAGACTTGTCATTGTCAACTTCACATAGGATGGATGCTCAACCATAATCATGGCCACCAGATCCTTAGAAACTCATTATCTTACCTAGACCGATTGATGATGCAACCCCAAGAGCTATCCACCACAATCCAAATTGAAAATAATGAGAGATTTCTTCTACGTGCTGCATAAGCATATAACACAGCAGAATATCAGTACTTTGCCTAATCTCAACGAAAAACATAAGCATGTGACTGTGTATAAAGGTGTGTATGCCCATCTAATTAATGCCACTCTTTAAGCACTTCAGTCAGTAACATATATACTATCAATATGCAAGACAGGATAGAAATAAATGAAAGAAATGCTATACAAAGAACCAAGTACCTTTCCATGAGGACCATCGACAGTAGCCACAAGAAAAACAGAAGCCACCACCACAGCACTCAAAAGTAACAGCCATCCACCTTTTGCAAAAAGGTATAATACACAACGCTTAAAATACTGAACTACAGCCAAAATAAAAAACTTCAATGTCTTGAATGGTTGTGTTGTAAAATTCAGATTGTCCAGCTCCTTCTGATGCTTCTTGCGGAGTTCTGCAACATTAGAATAGTTGTTTCATTCAATAAGCACTCAGATCAGAAAGATAAGCTTCCACACTTCCAATTATTACTTCAATATTTACAAGTGTAAGTCTCAAGAAGAAGACACTAGTCGACATACACTATTGTAAAGTTCCATACCAATTGCACAGCCACGACAATAAGTCGTGCTCGAGAACAGCCTAATCTCCACCTAACCAAACACATCGATTCCTGTCATGATAGTACCACGCTGGTGAACTGTGATAGATGGTTGAACACTCAGACTATCGGGGCAGTTCATAGTACAACACCACCCTTCAGTTTTATGGTAGTCCTTATAAATCTCACCTACCAAATAGCCCATTGAGAAGGGCAATCCTTGCAACATCCTCAAAGGCCAAACCCCAACCAAAGGTGGAAAGACATTCAGGTCAATCCGAATTCACATATCAGCAGCTGAAGCAAGAAGCTTCAGCCTCCCACAAACGCCCCTAATCGATATCTATGTAGTACAAAACCGATAATATCAGATTCTCACACACATACTTTATCAATCCAGGGAAATAGATCCCAATATCTAAAGTTCGGATTACCGGATATTCAGATATCCCCTCATCGGAAAAAAAATTCAATGACACTTGGCTGAATACTTAAAGCTAAGCTAAAACTACTAACGACCCACAAAACTGAACCGCAAAGCCCAAAATTTTTGGAACAAAAGAAGCAAACTTCATCTCCAGATGATTGCAGGGGAAAAGGAAATGAAGGGCTTTCTTACCTGCGATTGAAGAAGCCATAGTTTCTGAGGAAGAGGTGGAACCTTTGACAAACCCCACTGTCACCGCATACCCGACGAACAAAGTTTCGTCCTTCCCGCCTCTAATACATTAGTCGCCGGCAGATAATCGATGGGTAATGAATGATTTTGCACAATAGGTTCCGCGAGAGAGGAAAAGAAAGGATTTTTTTTTTTAAAGGAGGGAATCAATCAACAGTGGCGAAGTAGAAATTTCTTTCGATGTTTTGCTTTTGGTGGGGAGTTCTTGTTATTGAGATCTATAACGTAAGGGGAACGGGAAACGTGAAAGAGGGGAAGAAGCGAAGGGGGAAGGTTTGCGTGGTGGAGATCTCTTCTCAGTGGCCGGAGGATTTCTCGCACTCTTACCTATCTATCTCAGGCGGGGAGTCGTCTTCTTCTATATAACTTTCTCCCCCTTCCTTTTGGCTAATCCAGTTTGCTTTTTGTTTCGTTCTCTTGTTCCTCCGCCTTAACAAGTTTTTATTTTATTTATTAAAATGGTCGAAGGAATAAAACCATTTTTTATGAAAAACCCAAAAATAATAATTCCATCTAAGGAAGGATGGATAATTGTGTTGTGACATATAACTCGGGATGGCAATGGGTCGGGTCGGGGACGGATAGTGCATATCTATTACTTTACCCAAAGTAGTTCGGGTTTTACCCATACCCATACCCACATATGAAACGGGTAGAAAATTAAAACCATGCCCATACCCGTTCGGGTTTCGGGTATCCACGGTTATCCATGGGTAATGATTTCTCTTCATAACTCCCACTAATATATTAACATTCACACGTATTCTCACATTACGCAAGAGGAAAAGTGTAACAATAATTCACTAGAATGAAGAAAATTAATTAAAACAACACAATTTCATGAAAATATTATATTTATATGCTAAATATAAAATATGTTAGAGAAAAATAATGACTATTTCTAGAAAAAATACATATGTATGTGTATAATCGGGCGGGTTCGGGTTGGATACTGAGAAACCCATGCCCACCCATTACCCGCAATATTCGGGTTCGGGTTTTACCCGTACCCACTAAATGTCCTTCGGGTTCGGGTTTTACCCTACCCGATTAGGCCGGGTTCGGACGGATATCCATGATTACGGATATTTTTGCCATCCCTACATATAACCTTTACTTTTCACCGAATGTCTGTCATGAGTCTTCATAAGATTTTAAATATTTTTATACTTCAAATAAAAAAAAAGAAATTATTTAATCGTAACTTTAAAGTACCAAAAGAGACATTGATTAAATCAGTCGCTTTGACTTTGCCATTGCATGTCATGTCATGTTTCATGCTTTCTCTCTCGACTCTTAGACAGACACGTGGCAAGATTCTCGTGGTGTGTTAAAGGGGATCATTCCCGGATAAGGTGGATGTCCTGGCGGAATATGTGCCAAAGTAAGCATGATGGTGGAATGAGATTTCGTCGGTTCAAACATTTTAATTAGGCTCTCTTGGCCAAGATTGGATGGCAAATTTTGACCGAACTCCAGTCGCTCCTAGCCTAGGTTTACCAAGGGAAATATTTTCCGACCGGAACTTTCCTCACTTCCTCTTCACGATCACGTCCGTCTTGGGATGACAGAGTATTCTCTATGACCGTCATTTTTTAGTCAAGGGTCTACGATGGCAAATCGATAATGGACGGTCTACTTCATTGCTTCACTCAAATTGGATTCCACAAATACACCCCATACCCCTATGTTTAATTCCCATGTGCTATCGGAGGGTAGAGACCCGAAGGTGGCAGAGGTGATTTACCAAGGGGAGGGGTAGTGGTGTGATCATGAACTTAGCCAGTGGTTTGACACAGCAACTTGCCGTGCCATCAAAGAAATTCTTCTTCCTCAGAGGATGTGGGAGGACATGTTGATGTGGCACGCCACGTGTGACAGGATTTTCACGGTCAAATCGGCCTATCATCTTGCGGTATTATTGGATAAGCAGGGTGGACGGTGGCGATCCATGGCCAGTTGGATATGCTTGTGGGAAGCCCATATTCCACCTAAATTAAAAGTGTTTTTGTGGCAAATATTCTACTAGATCCTTCCAATGACGAAAGCTCTTATTGAAAAGGAAGTTCAAGTGCTCCACTGGCGGATCCAAGGGGTGGCCACCCCAGGCCCCGGCCCAGCCCTCCTCTGGATCCGTAGTTACTATAGTCCTTATGAAATTTTTGATTTTAGACATTCGAGTCAGTGTTATTCTATGATAAGATTGGGTTTAACTAGAAAAATTATCAAGTTGAACATATTCAAATCACTACTCTAAATTTAGCCTAGAAATTTTAGCCCCAAAGATTATGCGTCTAAAAAAATGTGATAACTGATTTGCTCAAAAAAATGAGCAATGAATTTCTCGTCGATTGCTCGTTTCAACAGCTACTACGAAGAGAACATTTTCAACAATGAAACATGTGATAACTGATTTGCTCAAAAAAATGAGCGATGAATTTCTCATCGATTGCTCAAGTATTTTATTTGAAATAGTGTATACTATTGGTATGGATGTAGGCTCCATTATTGATGCATTCCCTAAATTAAAATACAGTCGTGTACAATTTACATTGCAAAAAACTATAATCATTATATTTTTTTACGGTTCTAATTTTCTAATAAAATGCGGCCCAGTGCTCTTCTGTGTTTAGGATCCGCCGCTGAAGTGCTCCCTTTGTTGGGCTGAAACATAAACAATGGAACATTTGTTTCTTGATTTCCTAGTGGCAAGAGATTTATGGGATCATTCGAGACTCGAATATCTTGGCCAAGGTTTGCGTCATCACACTTTTCCGCTCTTCCTTAAAAAAGTTAATGTTATTGATACATCAACCCCAATTGTTTATGGCGGTGATGGCTGTCCTTTGGAAGATCTGGCGATCTCGAAATTGGGTTGTCTTTGAGGGCAAACAATATGAGATCCCAGCTCTAATGCGTCAATTTCACTAGCAATACCAAGAGTAGATCAGTTTTCCTTTAGACCTTAATCAACCAGTATCCATCCCACACTCACAAAACGGTCAGGGTATACCCGATACCTTAACTATGTTGTCTCTATGTGGGATGATGCTACTAAGAGTGAGTCCCACTCGACAGGTGGAATGAATATCATGGACCAAAGAGGGATGATCCTCCTGGCTAAAGGGGTGCAATTTTCTGATATTTATAATCCTATGGTTGTTGAGTTGCTCGTTCTCCAGGAGGCTGCTTTTTGGTGTCTGGCGCATGTGTATATGGAGACGAGTTTTGAAGGAGACGCTAATAAAATCAACCGATCTGATATTAGGGATAATTGGTCGGGGGCCATCCTCGAGGAGGTCGTCCATTATTTTGCGCTGCATTCTAGGCTTAATGTGCGATTTGTAGGTCGAAATAGTACCGACTACGTGTCGTTTCTTTGACTCGAACCCGTCTACAAAAATAGAAGTTTTATAACTTGAAATAAGAATGACCTGAACCCCATGATTTTTTTGATAGGGTTGGATGAGTTAGCGGGTCGACCCGTTAGACCCGTTCCATTTCATATGTCACTCCCAAAATGATAAAATAATTCCTAAATTGGTGAGATGTTTAAAAAAATTCACAAGGATTTGAAAAACATGTTTGGAGTTTAAGGATAGTCAAAATATCATGTGTTTCTTGTAGTAGTATTACTCTTGTTATTGTTTTGTTGACGATTTGTGCAATTTTTATTTCATTTCATTCGTATGGGAGGATTTGAGAATATGTTAATTGACATGTGTTAGGTAAACTTTTGCCATGCACATGTGAAGATTTGTGTTCTTTGAGAAAATATGAAGCATGTGTGATTCTGAGAGCGCTCATAACCCGAAATGACTTGTAATCCGACCCGAAACCCAATGAATTGGGTCAATATTTGAAGAAAAGCAAAGATTAAGGATTGCGTTGCGTCTATCATATGTGGTGGTAGGTGGAGCACAAGCTTCATCAACTGAAAATACGCACGTTAGTGTAGTGTGGGAGAGGGGTAGGGCTGCAAACGAGCCGAGTCGAGTCGAGTTTTTGCTTAGCTTGAGCTCGGCTCGTTTATTAATTTTTCAGCTCGAGCTCGGCTCGAACTCGAATTTTGATAATCCAGCTCGAGCTCGAGATCGGCTTGAATAAAAATAATCTAGCTCGAGCTCGACTCGGTAGAGCTCGATAAATGCTCATTAACATAGCTTGTTAAGCTGAGTACAAGCTCGGCTCAAGATGAGCTCGATTTAAAATCATTTTTGCTGGAAAAATGTATAAACATAAGAATTTAAATGATAGAAAGAACACTAGAAACTAGAAATAACATCTAAATTTCATACACATCTGTATTATAAGACAATGTTCATGTTTAAAAGAGTAATTCATCCTTCCACAAGCTCAAAACAAGGCAGCTCGCGAGCTTAGCTCGACAAGCCACCGAATCAAGCTAGCTCGCGAGCTTATCAAGCTGAGCATGGTCTAGCTCAGACTTGGCTCGTTAACTAACGAGTTGGCTCGCGAGCCGGCTTGTTAAATAACGAGTCGAGTGTCGAACGAGTTTTTTCCGATTCGAACGCCGAGTTGCTCGTGAGCGGCTTGGCTCATTTGCAGCCCTAGAGAGGGGCAAGGCGACAAATGCTTGTGGGCAATGCATGAGATGAGCGATGAGATAACCCAAACCAAACATCAGGGTAGTAGCGGAGTCGGGTTGTGAAACTAGGTGTGTTTTTTTTCTTCCAGAATATAAATATATAATTAATTATTTAGTAATTAAATTAAAATTGAATGGAAACTTACATACTAGAAAAGGAAGAGTACAATAGCAGCAGCGGCGGATCCAGAATACAGAAGAGCACTGAGCCGCATTTCATTAAAAAACTAGAACCGTAAAAAAATATTATAGTTTTTCTTTACAATATAAATTGTACACGACGGTATTTTAATGGGTTAATACCTTAATTTGGCCCGAATTATACACAAATTTTCTACTTGGACCCGTGGTTTTGAAAATTGCTCTTCTGGCCTGAACTATGTACCATACTTCCTGATTTGGCCCGAAGGCAGGTATGACCGTTAAATTGGACGGTCAATAGAGTTGACCGTTAGTCAATGGCCAACTCACTTGGCCACGTCAGCGAGGAGATAATAAAAAAAATATTTTTTGAATTTCTGTATTTTTTCCTTTCTTATAATAATAATAATAATAATAATTTTTTATTTCCTTTCTTATAAAAATAAAGAAATTCAAAAAAATCAATATTTTATTTCCGCCTCGCTGATGTGGCCAAGTGAGCTGGCCATTGACTAACGGTCAAACCCGCTTCCATGCCAAATAAGGAAGTATGGTACATAGTTCAGGCCAGAAGAGCAATTTCCGAAACCACGGGCCAAAGTAGAATGTTTGTGTATAGTTGGAGCCAAACTAAAATATTAACCCTATTTCAATTTAGCGAATGCATCAATAATGGAGTCCACATCCATACAAATAGCATACATTGTTTTAAATAAAATACTTTAGCAATCGGCTAGAAATTCATCGTTCATTTTGTTGCGAAATCAGTTTTCATATGTTTCATTGTTGAAAAGGTTCTCCTTGTAGTAGTTGTTGACTTGTTGATACGAGCAGCGTCAACACTAGACAAATCAATCTTGCATGTTGCGTCCATACCTATATCCACTAACTGCTTAAGTAAATTTTCAAGGGAATAAACCTCATATTTCTTATAATCTTTTACGTTTTAGACTTTTACAATTTTAGATTTCATTGTTTTTTTAGAAAAATAGTCTTTGGAGCTAGAATTTCTAGACTAAATTTATAGTAGTGATTTGAATATGTTAATCTGAATCATTTTTCTAGTTACACCCAATCTTATTATAAAATATCACTAGGCCGAATAACTAAAATCGAAAAATTCATAAACACTATACTAACTCCGAATTCAGGGGAGGGCTGGGCCGGGACCCGGGGTGGCCACCCCCTGAATCCGCCACTGAATAGCAGAGGCTTCTGCTTTCGGCTTCATAGTTCTTGGACAAAATTGAATAGGATAATTGAGAAAAAAGAACCCAAATAGAAATTTATTTCAGTTGAAGATTTCATTTATAGCCCGTATAAATTAATTTTATACCAATCAAATAACAAAAATTGAGCTTTATTGTAATGGTAAAATATTTTTTTATACTATATCACGTTATGAATTTGAATATTTTATCTCTTGAATAAATATATATAGGGATGTATTAATTTTTTTTTTTACCAAAACTTACCTGTGTTCTGGGACACATTCCAAACCCTCTGTCTCCGTCTATGCACCAGGGCACTTAAAATTCGTAAGCCAATATGCCAAACTCAGAATTCCGTTTTTAACTCAATCATTCTACGTTAAAAAACAACATACCACTATGATACACTTTTCTACCCATGAATTATGATATAATGTCTTGTGTATTATAAGACGTTATCACCATAATTTTATGACGAATTATTGTATATGTGTGTTTTGTCTATTTTAATCATTTAAGATTCATTAAAAAAAATCAATTCGCTAAACTTGGAAAAATCAAGTTACGGTCCCCAATATTTACTGGGTAGAATATGAATACGAGAAATCATGTAGCCACGGATTAAGCTCCACATAAAATTATATGCAATTTTATATCGAGGTGGACCAAATCATTCCAAAGGCTTGGGATATTGTCAATGGCAATCCTGCCAATGAATATGATATGCTTTCCTTTCCTTTCCTGCGTTTGGACTTTGATTGAAGAGTGAAGACGAACGCTTTTTTTTTTTTTTTTTTTTTTGACGGTAAACCTGCTTCACTTTTATAAACCAGATTGTGCCATTGCAATGTCAAGCTGCAGCTGGCTAATCAAACATTGCGGGGGTTGATCAACCCAAACACTAGCATCATTTGGACACAAAGTGAGCTGCGCCATCTGGTGAGCTGCTTCATTTGCTGACCTTCGGACGTGTCGCAGTGAACCTTGTCCAATCTCCTGCAATAGTCTACGGATACTTCGACAAACCGTACCAATCTCCGTCTGAACCTCCTCGGCCGCCTGAATCTTCTGTACCAGAGGTAAGCAGTCCGTCTCCAAGGCTGGTTTCGTAACCCGGAATTGCTTTGCCATCATTAGTCCAAACTCCGCCGCCAAAGCCTCTCCCATCTCAATCTCCTAGTCCCCTTCCAATCGCTTCGCAGCTGCCAACGTGAACTTGCCTTGCTCGCCCCGGATCACCACACCCAGTGTCACACCTCCTGCTTGTCCAAATCCAGCATCAGTGTTGATTTTATATTCCCCCAATAATGGAGGCTGCCACGCCTTCTCCACTCGGACTTCAGGCTCCTCCCTCCTCTTCGCTTGATTAGCTTTGTAGTCTTGGAGATAGTATTTAGCTCGTATAACAATCTCCTCCTCCGCCAACTTTTGTCCATTGAATAGCTGTGCGTTCCTCTCTTTCCATAAGTACCACAACATCACGCTCCAAGATTCTAGCGTCTCCTCATCAACCTTCTCCATTACCTGTTTGAACCAGCCATAGCAATCTTGCACCGGTTGATAATTGAAGCAGTCTGCCACCTCTGAGGTCCTCCAAATCCGGCTCGTCCATTGGCAATCACCGAAAAGGTGGATCTGTGTTTCTCGGAGGTCGCAGAAGGGGCACTTGTCCCCGTGGCGTTGGCTCTTCTCACTGATGTGATCTCCCGTCGGGAGTACCTCTCTTGCAAATCTCCAGATGAACTGCTTTATTTTTGGGGCAATGTTCATATTCCACATCTTCTTCCATACAACTTCTTCCCCAAAACCGTTAACTCCATTCTCTTCCTTGAATTTCTTCAACCAGAATCTATAACCCTCAAGGACTGAATAGGATCCATTCTTACTAGTGCTCCAAATCAAGCGATCTGGTTCTTGAATGCCTCGGAGTGGGATTTTAAGGATGTTCCTAACCAGCTCATTCGGGAAACAGTTCTCCAGCAAAGAGAGATCCCATTGTTCAGTTATCGGGTCAATGAGTGCACTGACTCGTGAGTCAACCGGGAGGCCTCGCGGCGCTGAAGGCACAAACAACTCAGGGCTGCTCGGAACCCATTTGTCCCCCCAGATACATACAGAGTCTCCATTGCCGATCCGCCATCTCAATCCACTATTCAGGAAATCCAACGCTGACATCAGGCTGCGCCACATGTAACTTGGGTTATATCCCGCTCTAGCATCCAAAATAGATACATGCTTATGGTACTTAGCTCGGAGAATGGTAGCAATTAGTGAGTTCGGCCGTTGATAGAGATTCCAAAGCTGCTTTGCTAATAGCGCCATGTTGAACCCCTTCAAGTCGCGAAACCCCATCCCGCCCTCCATCTTCGAGCAGACCATCTCTTCCCTTCGTAACCAGCTCACCCGTCTCTCGGTCCCTTTCTGTCCCCACCAAAATGCCATAATCATGCTATGCACTTCATCCAACACACCCTCCGGCACCTTGAAAACCGTCATTGCGTAAGATAATTGTGCCTGAGCTACCGACTTAATGAGCACTTCCCTAGCTGCAACCGACAACACCCTCTCCTTCCATCCCTTCAGTTTCTTTCTTATACGGTCAACAATTCCTGTGAACAGTTCCTTCTTCGAGCGTCCAGCTACAGTCGCTAACCCCAGGTATTTCTCATGCTTGGCAACAATTGGCATACCCAGAGTGCCACTGACCAGGAGCTTGTTATGAGTCGAAACATTGTCACTAAACGATACCCCTGACTTTGACAGGCTTACCAACTGTCCCGATTCCCTCTCATAGTCTGTCAAAATTCTTCTCAAAGTCTCGCTTTCCTGCTGCGTCGCCCGAGCAAAAAAGATGCTGTCATCGGCAAAAAACAAATGTGAAATAACTGGCGCCCCCGGTGCCGGTGACAATCCATGCAACTTTTTATCCTGAATCGCCTTCTATTTTTTTTTTGGCTGATGAACTCACGAGGCCTAATTTAATAAATATCGACTTCGTGGAAATCGAAACACAACAATGACAAAAATATATGTATTTATTATTTAGTGGACTATTTTAGTACAAGTGTTTTTCCATCAAGTTTTGTGGCAAATTATGATTTTGATTAGGAGTAGGTAGGTTGAATCCACAAAATACCAAACCTTGGTAATATCATTATTATTATCCAGTCCAGAGATTCAAGGATACACTTTATATTGTGGGAGTGTAGGATCTTTATGTACTTCCTCTTCCTTTCTTCCCGTCTTAAGAATTAGTTTATTTGAGTTGCTAACCATCATGGTACATTATAGTATTGATTGATCACTAACTTATTTGTCCATAGGAATATATTTATTTGTCCATAGGAATATATTTTACTTTAGAGTGCGCTTACGATGACATGCATGTCACGGTGACTTGTACTTTCCGGTCGACCTCAGTTAGGATTAGGTCGACCTCATTTAGGATTCGGTCGACTTCATATAGGATTAGGTCGACCTAATCTGTTGTTTCAGTGTAAAAACAGTTCATGGTGCCTACTTTGGAGATTCATATCATACAATTGGCTAGATGGAAATTGAAGACTAATGGCTTGTTTTGAAGCTGAAGTGTCCCTCTAAATATTGAAGTGATTGAGAGCTCGATAGGAAGTCCAGAAGACTATTTTTGAACCTCATCAAAAGGCTATGCCAAAACTGGGAAACTGCCTGGAAATGGCTAAGTCTGGAAACGTGTTTGTGAAGCCTATTTTGAAGCTCAATCAAGAAGCATGAATGCGAGTCGAGTCTAGGAGCATCTACAACGTTAAATTAGGTATGTTTTTATACAAATTCAAGGCATTGGATGAAAGATTGGATATCTGTAAGGCTTCAAACAAAAGGGTCGAAGTTGCTACGAAGGCTGTTTTTGTGACAGACTTCGAGCATAAGCAAGCTGCAAGAAAAACAACCTTCGTAGCAACTTCGAGCCTTTTGTTTGAAGCCTTAAAGATATTAAATCTTTCATCCAATGCCTTGCCTTTGTAGAAAAAACATACGTAATTTAACGTGGTTGAGGCCCCTGGACTTGAATCGCATCCATACTTCTCAAATTGAGCTCCAAATTAGGCTTCACAAACACGTTCCCAAACTTAAGCCATTTTCAGGTAGTTTCCAAGTTTTGGCATAGCCTTTTGATCAGGTTCCACAATTGTCTTCTGGACTTCCTATTGAGCTCCCAAGTAATTTAATGTGTAGAGGGACACTTCAGCTTCAAAACAAGTCATTGATCTCCAATTTCCATCTAGCCAATTGTAAGATATGAATATCCAAAGTAGGCACCATGAAACTGTTTTTACACTGAAACAACAGATTAAGTCGACCTAATCCTATATAAGGTCGACCGAAAAATGCATGTCTCCAAGACATGCATGTCACCATAGCAAAGTCCTTTACTTTAATGTTACCAAATTACCGCTTCATGCAATCATCCATAACAAGAGGGATCCATCGTAATCCATGGAGCGATGGATTTTGGCTACATCTATAGTTGGCCAACATAAAAAGAATGATGATTTTTTTGATAATGATAGATGTATGGATACCTCATTCTTAACAAAATCAATCACTAAAACAGATGTACTTTTACATGCTTTTCCTCGTTTAATTTTTATAAAAAAAAATAGCAACGATAATTTTATATTTTAACAATCATGTTAACAACACATCCCAAACAATACATAGTCCATAAATGTTATCCAAACAATTTTTTTGGATACAGATTAAGATTAGGCCGGCCCGTAGACTTATTTGGATACAGATTGCTTGTCCTTTGTACTGTAAGCCCATTGAATGAATCCAGCTCGATAGTAACCAGCTAGCTTACATGTTTTAAGTATGGGCCTCCCCGCTTAAAATTTCACTTCTCCGTCCTCTTATCCTTCCAAGTCCAGCCCACTTATGTTCTTATCTCTTTGCTACTGGCGTCCAACTGATATTCATTGCCAAGCGGGCTCAAAAAAGAGCAATTGTATGCGTGGAAAAATATAAATTTCCCAAAATTTGAGAATTTTCACTATTAACTTTTCATTTTTTTTTGTTATTCATAACTAATATGTATACAATTTTTTTTGGCCGTTTGAGTAATTAAAATTGTATGAGAAAAAGAGCAGAACGGGCACTTAGTTTAAAATGAATGTGGCATATTGAGTTTACTCTAAACTCAATGAATCTATACTCGGTTCGCTTGGAAATTGTAAAAGTGTGACGAATTTGATGCTTTATGTCAGTTTTCTTTCTCGGTCTTTGTTTTAAAAAAGAGTTATTTAAACTTCTTCTAGCACTAGGAGCGAATCTTGCTAATAATGTATCCCGATTTGATGTAGTAGGTAACAACCCATCCATTGATTGATATATTTATCTAATTATTGTTCTAAGTTTGTATGATATTTATGGTAATTAGGTTGCGTTTCATCTGAACCATCAACCATTCCAATTAGGGCTGTTAATCGGTCTCCGGTTTTTCGGTTACCACCGAAACCGTCGGTTTAATGACCAACCGAAAACCGTCGGTTGAGTGCGGTTTGCGGTTGCGGTTGGATGATACTGGCCAGTGGGCAATTGTAGCGGTTAGCGGTTAAAAACCGCAACCGCACAAATTAACCGCACAAACCGACGACCAGCCTCTCCTTCCCTCCTCCCCTGCCCTAACCTAATTGTCAATGACCTAAAATCCTAAATCGCAAAATCGTGGCCTCTCCCCAGTCCCCTCTCACACCCGCCGCTCCTCCCCATTTCTGAACCCTAGCCCCTACCCTCGCCGGCCGCCGCCAGTCGCCTCGTCCCCGTCGAGCTCGTCGGTCGTTGCAGCGCCGTCCTCACTCCTCTCGCTCCCAGCCTCCGTCGCGTCGCATCGCCACCCTCCCGCTTCTCCCAGCCTTCGCGTCGCCGCTGTCCTCCAACAGAAGTCGTCGTCGCCGAACTCCCTCCCAGAACTCCCTCCCAGAACTCGACTCCTGCCGACGCTGCCGTCTTCTGCCCCGGAATCCAGCCGTCTTCTGCCCTGTTCTCCCGCCGTCTTCTGCCCTGTTCTCCCGCCGATTCACCATCACCAATGTAAGTCTCCAACAGAACAAAAACATTAGTAGTGAATTGGGTCTAGGTTTTGTATGTGTTCGTAGTGAATTGGGTCTTGTTGGAATAGGAAGAAGAAGAAGAAGACGCGCTCTTCATATTGGTCGGGCGCAGTGATCAATTTGTTGGCCGCCGGGCAGAGAAGACGCGTGGAATGCGTCTTCTTTGGTTGACTACATAATATATGAAATTCCTCCTAGCTACTACCACTGCCGTCGCAATCATAATGATCATCTGTTTAGTTGAATCAAATTAAGGATTCGCTTCAGTCAGTCGTTGTAATTAATGGTGTTTGGTTGGCTTGATTGCTTGATCTGGAATTTATCTTCCAGGAAGCCATCAGCTAGGCTCAATTGCTTTCTTCTCTCATTTTATTTTACATTATCGATCTTAATATATGCATGCATGGAAATGGAATGAATTCAAGAAGCCATCGGCTGGTTATTATTTACTTCAGCTTAGGTTTAATGTTTTGATTAATCTATAGGGTGATTTATTCTTTAATAACGAGGAAAAGGGCTCGTATCAGCTTGATTATATTATACAAACAAGCATGTGATGGCTTAACGATGTTTAAAAAAAAACCATGAATTGTTTTAGGGTTTAGAAAGCCCATTTGTCACATGGGTGGGTAAGTAATTGCCGAAGTGTTCTAAAGTTTCACATGGTCAAGTAAACATTCCAAGCTTCATAAAGGGAAAAAACTAGTGATAACTTAGTAGGGATTTGGTTTGATGATTGGTAGTTAGTAGGGATTTGGTTTGCTAATTGTTGATGTTACATGATGCTAATTGTTCTATTTACATGCTTTTATTAATTAAAACAGGGATAGAGGTGGACGTGGTAAGAAACCACGTGGTCGTGGTCGTGGAAGAGGAGAACAATGAGCAAGAGGTGCTCCTCCTCCGGCGGCTCAGCCGCGGGTTCCTTCGCAACCTGCTACTCCTTCTACCGGAGCTACTACAACCGGAGGAGTTACTCCAAATGTGGCGGCTGCAGCTGAGAATGTAGAAGGTATTGGAAGAGATAATGTAGCAGCGCCGGCTGGAGTCGAGAATGCAAATGTGGAAGCTGGGGGAGATGCAACGAGGAGTGCAAATGATGCAGCATCAAAGAAGAGGAAAGCTGAATGTTGGAATGTCTTCAGAGCGATACTGGTTGATGGCTACCCATTTGGAGAATGTATATTCTGCAAGACGAAGATTGCAGCACATCCAAAGTTTAATGGGACAAGTGCAATGAATACACATAGGAGGGCATGTGCGAGGAAAAGGCTGAAGGAGAGTGATAGCTCTCAAACTTTGTTGAATCTGCAGTCAACATCTACAGCTACTGGTAGTCAGGTAGGATCTCTTTCGACATGGAAGTTTGATCAGACTAAAACTAGGATTGGTCTAGCTGAGATGATTATATTGGATGAGCTTCCCTTTAGATATGTCGAGCATGAAGGCTTTAGACGATTTATGGCATTGGCGCAGCCCTTGTTTGTGATACCTGGTAGGCTTACTATTAGAGAAGACTGTAATCGTATCTTCCTTGAAAGAAAAGATATCCTGAGAGATTTCTTTGTCACAAAATACAAAGGAAGAATTTCGATAACGACAGATACATGGACTTCTGTTCAGAATGCAAACTATATGTGTGTGGCTGCTCATTATGTTGGTAAAGATTGGAAGTTGGTGAAGAAGGTGATTTGCTTTGTTGAGGTGACTAGTCATACTGGAGTTGATATAGCAGAGACATTGTGTACTTGTCTAGATGAGTGGAAGATCAAGAGTTTGTGTTGCATCACAATGGACAACGCTAGTGCGAATGATGTTGTGGCTAGTTACATGATAGAGAAGATGCATGAGTGGGGGACAAATATGTTGGATGGGAGGTACTTGCATTTTCGTTGTGTTGCTCACACCATCAACTTAGTTGTTACTGATGGCTTGAAAGAAGTGGGGATTTCGGTTGAAAGGGTTCGAGATGTTGTGAAGTGGGTCAAGTCATCTCCATCAAGACTTACCAGATTCAAGTCGGCTGCTGATTTTCTTAAGATTGAGACCAAGAAACTTGTGTGTTTGGATGTTCCCACAAGGTGGAACTCCACCTACCTCATGCTAGAGTCTACAGAAAGATTTGAGAAAGTATTTACTTTCTTATATGGACAAGATGAGAGCTTTAAGAAGTATGTGGACGCAAAGAGAGGTGTGCCAACAAAAGACGATTGGAGTAGTGTGAGAAGGCTGATGAAGTATTTGAAGTTTTTCTGTGATTTGACTCTGCGTGTATCTGGTATGACAATCTAAATCTTTAAAGGCGAACTATATGTTCTTTTTCTTATTACTTCAATTTATGTTATACTAAATTACTAATATCTACTCTCTTGAACTTTTCTGTGTTTACAGGAACATCATATGTGACTGTGCATCTATTCTTCAAGTATCTTGCAGATATTTATGAGGTCATATGCACATTGGAGCAAGATGAAGATGCCGAGATACAACGAATGGCAGTGAGAATTAAGGCGAAGGTTGCAAAGTATTGGTATGAGGCAGATAATGAGGAGAATATTAGGATGAACCGTGTGATCTACATTGCATGTGTGTTAGATCCGAGGCGCAAGTTGGCCTATGTTGAATTTGTCTTGAAGCAGATGTATGGCCAAGAAAATGGGAAGCAAATGGCTAAGGATATCAAACAAGAGATGAATGACTTGTTTGAAGATTACAAGAAGAAGCTCCAGTCTCCACCCTCAAGTTCTATGGATGCTGTTGGGACTAATACTCGTGCCACCTCCACAACTCTCAGTGGGAGTTCGAGTAGTGGTGTTGTGATGGGAGGGAAGATGACTTTTGAGTTCAAGAAGTTGAGGAAAGAAGAGCTTGATGCGGGTATTCGAAGTTCTTCAGAGCTGGACATCTATCTGAATGATGTCAATGATGCTGTTCTTTTCGATGACGAGGATGATAGCTTTGACATTCTTAAATGGTGGTCCGTCAGCAGCATTAGATATCCCGTGCTTTCTGAAATGGTGCGGGATATTTTGGCCATTCCGATTTCTTCTGTTGCCTCCGAGTATGCTTTCAGCACAGGAGGTCGGGTGCTATCCTCATTTAGGTCCTCCTTGACCCCGAAAATGGTGGAGGCATTAATCTGTGCCGAAGATTGGATACGATTCCCTGATTCCCAATTGGTTCATGATGAAGAGGATCTCGAAGAGCTAACTGAGTTTGAAAGTGGTAATATATCATTTCTTCCTTTTAATTATGCTTTAGTTTTCATATTTGACAATTTGCCTATCTTAGTTTTCTCATTATAATCTACTTTTCATGTAGTTTATGAGGTTCTACAAGCTCGAATGGCTAATCAAAGTGGGAGTGACTTTGATGGAACCCAAAGTTTTTCAGTTGATCCTACTCCTACTCCTACCCCCATAGTTCATGGACTTGATGATGTTGCTGAATATGATTCCGATGTCAATCCCGATGACGAGAATGAAGATCTTGGAGTAAATGATGACATTGGGCTAGACGATTTGGAGCGAGATCCCCGAATTTAGGTTGATGATTTGGAGAATGAACTTTTTATTTGTGGCTTGTTGTGATTTGTGAACTTGTGACTTGTTGAATTGTTGGCATGTAAAAGATTTATGGTGTGTGATGAATGATGACTTGACTTGTGGTTTAATTGTGGTTGGTTTAGACTTCATATTCTGATTTGATAATAGAGCAGTAGGTTTTTAGAAAAAAGGCAGAAGCAGATTTTTAGAAAAAAAGGCAGCAGGTGTGCTGTGTGCAGGTCCTGAAATCGGTTTATTGGTCGGTTTATTGGCGGTTTCTGACCGAAAACCGAAAACCGAACCGACTCATACGGTGTCGGCTAGCCGCCCGTTCAAACCAAAACCGGAGGGTTCGGTTGCCAGTTAACCGAGGTTACCTTCGGTGTCGGCTTCGGTTGAGGGAAATGGGTTGGTTTCGGTCTCGGCTAACCGACGGTGCGGTTCGGTTAAACCGAAACCGCACCGACTAACAGCCCTAATTCCAATCATTCATAAAAAGGGAAGACGGAAGAGAGATGTTTGTGGAATAAGTTAAACGTACCTAGTTGGTATTTTCGAGCTTTTCACATGCAGTCTAACTAATTAAGTACTACCCTTAATTAGTATAATTAAAAGTGTTTCCATTCAATCGCGAGGTGGTTGCATTCGTTCACTTTGCTTTCCGGTCGATCTTTGTCTTTGTTCCCGCCGGCCACTTTATCTACCATATATGCCTTCAAGTAACGAATAAATCCATGCAACTTTTCCGATATGAACATGGAGTTTCCCCAAATCTTTCACTTTTTGCATGGAGAAGCACTAATTAATGCATGATTAAGTTCAAAGTTGATCACTTTCCAGGGTTGAAGATTCTAATTAACCACTCTTTCTCTCTTCGACGGGGCCAAATCACGTTGTTTAATTTGGAATTATTCGATATGCTTTCCATTGCAAACAAGGAAAGCAATTGAGATCCAAGGTTGTTATATTAACTTTTCAAGAAAAAAAAAAAACAACATTAGAGAAATATTAGCACTTCACCCCATTATTACACCCTTAAAAATAAAAAAACCTATACCGACCAGACTACAACATCTAATGATCCTAACTTTAAATAAAAAATCAAAAGAGTATTGTATGCGATTCTATAGCCAACCCAATTATAATTGGATGAGGTACTATCCTATATACTATGCCCATAGAAAAGGAAGAGGTACAATTAGACAGATTCACGTACGATCTGATCATCAAAGACATTAGGTAGGCACACTTTCATCAATTCATTTTTCTCCTTTGATTTCGGCCGAACAGAACAAAATTAATTATGATTACTATGTTTGGTAGTTGTGATTGTATTTGTAAGAATATAGTAGGAAACTCACTTTTTGAATGAAAAGTCACATTTACCCTTCCTTTTAGATATAAAAGTCAATCACATATAAAAGTTGATAAGAGCATAAAGAGACGAAAAGTTGATTCACAATCTCAAAACACAATCTCATCAAATAGTTGAGATTCTAAATCATTCATTTTGAATGATTTCAAATGTCACATCAACAATCAAATACATGCATTGTGTTTTATTTTACAACAAAAAAAGATGCATTCTCTACAATACATGCATTCATTAAATACATCATTTAGATACACACTTACCAAACAACCTCTAATATGAACCGATTTGGAAGAGACTTATATATATATAAATAAAGGATACGTGTGGATTAAGGTGGACCTAGATATATACATTTTCTCGGATTTGGTCCAATTCATTTTTCTCCTCTATGTGATTTAGTTGAATTTTAAATCTTTAGTCACCACTAGGAGTAGGATTCTTTTCCTAAATACTTTCTAAACAAATCAATCTTGTCACTATTTGTCCTTTTTTTTTATAAAAGATAATCTTATATTGATTGACAGAAGATAGCTACACCCTGGAATTCAGCCAGGTATGAAAATCAAAGAAACGACACAAAGTCGGGTACAATGAAAGGGCCTTTTGAGCTACCACATGAGCTACCCTATTATAACGCTGACCTATGAATCGAACACTAAACCCCGGATAAGCAGCAAAACACTGTACTACTTCATCAAGAAAGCTCCCATCTGGTTATCGCTGGTATCTCCCTGCCTGATCTTATCAATAATCACCTTGGCATCTCCCTCAAATCGAACCACCGCGAAACCATGCTCCAGGCACCACAACTGTGCCTCTCGGAGGACTAGCAATTCCACCACCCCAGGGTCATTAATTTCCGGAAACTGAACACCTTTAGCCATTAAGATCTCCCGAGCCGGATTCAAAATCACCATCCCCTCTGCCGCGTGAGATCCACTCCTCGTAGCCCTATCCCACATACAAACAACCATTCCAGGCTCGACTGGCTCCAGCTGATGTAATCGTGGGCGCAAGGCCAGGCGATCCTGACATCTCGGCAACCTTATCCATTCATCATACTGTTGGTTAAACTGACGCATAAGAGCCGTGATCCCATACTGTTTGCCTTCAAAGACAACCCAGTTACGAGACAACCATATTCGCCAAAGGACGGCTACGACCGGCATAACCAGCTCTGGCTGATGAATTATAAGGACAACAACCTTTTAAGGAATAAAGGAAAAGTTTGACGAGGCAGCCCCTCACCAAGGTACTCCAACCCAGAATAATCCCAAAGAGCGCGGGCCACCGGACAATAAAGGAACAAATGTTCCATTGTTTCAGGTGCATCCCAGCAAGCCGGGCATCGAGGAAGCACCAAAACTTTCTTCTCAATGAGAGCTTCTGTAGTTGGGAGGATCCGATTCAAAATCTGCCAGACAAACACCTTAAGTTTAGGCGGAATATTAGCTCCCCACACTCGAATCCAACTAGCCTTATCCATAAGGTGATAGGCGACTTAACAGAGAAAATCTCATCCCGCTCATAATGCAAGATCAACCTATCCTCCACATTCTGCCTCGGGAGAGGAATAGCTTTAATAGCTTTACAAGTAGGAGGATCGAACCACTACCCCAACTTAGCATCATTCCAAGGATTCCTTACATGTAACCTTTTTTAGACAATAATTTCTGAAGTTTCCGCAAAGGAAACATGACACCTTTTATTTACTCTGCTCCCTACATTTAAATTTTAAACCATACAAAGGAGCATTGATAACAACTACACTGGTTGCTTTGTCGAGTCGAAATTGAGTGGGCGCTAGTACTTGTAGTAATACTACAATCGATGCAATTGTTTACAATTTTGTGTATTAAGTTGTCCCATGAACATTCGTTATTCTCGAAAGTCCTCAAATTCTAGCCTATGGCATGATGCAGTAATTAATTTGACACATTGAATTAGTCTTACTCAATGATATTTCTTGGTTTTTACTTAAGTTGTTCATGAGATTTGGTGCGGTAGAACGATATCTAGCGCAGCGATTTGTAGAGATAAAAATTAGACACGAGCAATTAATTAAGAGCACAATCACACTTTTGACAAAAAAGACATAATCAACTAATAACACATTACTAGATAACCAACAAAAGTTTATGTTATTCCTAATTATTAATCAAACAATGAAAAACTTAACAACTAAAACAAAGACTGCTAAATTATTGTTCACGCAGGATCTTAATTTATCCCTTTAACTATACGTGTGAAAAACATGAGCTCCATCGTGCCAAGCGTAACGTGAACTTCCGTTCTATACATACTCCCCCTGGAGTCGAGACTGTTGCTTCCAGCCACCATCACGTCGAGCTTATAGTTCATGCCGTCCACCACCTGGACAAGGCCCCTCCGAATGCTTACGAGTCTCAACGGATGTTTGAAATTGTTTTCCAAGTTGTGCATTCTTACCGCAAACTTAGCAATCTCCTGGATGCGATAGTTATGTATGTTCTCTATCGGCTGCCACCCACCGTAGGGACTAGCACTGACGGTGGAGAGAACGACTGCGACGGTAGTCAAAGCCACGAGAAATGTAACAGGCTTCATCTTTCGTACGGAAGTGATTCTTCGTGTGATTTTGTTTAGGAAGATGTTTGATTGGTGTGTGTTTTGGATGTGAAGCAAGACTAATTGTGGTCTGTATTTATAGGCTATAGTTGAGCTAATCGATTTCTTTCTTTCATTTGTTTTTTTTTTGTCTTATGCTAAAGTTGTCTATTTTCAGTTATGTATCCCGTTATTATAGATGGTGGATATATTTTTTTTGCAATTTTTATGCGTAAATTTCTGATTATAATATGGCCTAAATTTTAGTAAATCAGACAAACAGTTTTATAGCCCTTGAAAATGGGGAACTATACGACCTTGTCTTACAAGCATAGTATATGTACAAAAAAAAAAAGAACAAATTCAACCCTCCAAATACGCAGAGTTCATCGACCAACTAATTACCCCTTTATATTATTAGAGCAAGAAAAATTGAGTACTTAAATACAAGAATTCATATCATATAGAAATGGAAGCTTTATATTGTTCTTCTGTTTGAGTATATTATCAAATCGATGGTTTTATTTGAATCTCAGAAATTTATATCATATGTCACGTACGCATTCCGCCATTAAAGATGACGATGATTATTGATTTTGTTATTGTTATGATTATTAACCAGTAATTAAAAGTGGCAATTTTGAATATATCTAGAATGTAGAACTAAAGAAGCAAGTGTATGCATGGAGAACCACTTGTAGTTCGACGGTAACATGATAATGCTCCAAATTAATGGTTATATATGTGTAAGTTCCAACAGTTTGTTGTTAAAGGTATAAAGCATTTTTGTGAATTTAATTGTGAGTACAATTTGGTGCTGTCTAAAATGAGCCGATTTGCAAGATACGGATCTACAAAATATAAAGACAAAACATGGGTTGGAATTCTCTCATTTCAAATTTCGTGGCCAGAGAGTGATTCTAGACAGCAGGGGCGGAGCCACTTCGAAGGTAGGATGGCCCCCGGCCCCCTGGGATTAGTCTGATCCGAGCCCCCATGTCCTTAAGGATATTTAGATAAAATTTGAATAAGTAGGACTCGTCCAGAATATTAGTTTATACAATTATCATGTAGTCTACTGGTAGCTAATCTAGTTTTTACTTTTTAGCCTTGAGCACCTGTTTGTGCCACAATACTTCCCTTCTCCTAATTGATGATACCAATCCAAAACTACTCCTGCGAACGTCGAGGGGAACACCTTGCATAACGTGGCGTCCGTGCTGTTGTACAACTGCATCTTCGTGAAATAGCTATTCAGATGATCCTCCGGGTCAGTGACCCCATCATAGCTGGTCAGAGGCGGGAGGGTAGTTCCTGCTGGTTCCATTAACACGCTTTGCGCTAAGGGTTGCCCGATCCCGAAGCGCCTGGTCTAGCGTCTAGGCGTCCATGGGTTTTGCTCCTCTGGCCCTGGGATGGCCAACTCTCCTGGCGCCCTCCACACACCCGGGAGCCTAGGCGGCGTCGATTCCACATTTGGCCCTTCATAGTTGGGGCGCCCGTACTCACTAACTTCCGAATCATCTATGAGCCTATATCGTTTTCTCGCCGGGGGGCTGTACTCCCTCGTATCAACGCTCCTTCCTCCCTCCAATTCCCTTCGAAGCATGGCTATTGCCCTGTCTTGGTCAGCAATGATCTTAAACAGCTCCCTCTTTGACAACGAATCACTTTCCATAGATGGGCGCTCACGGCTTTCTTCCTCTACCTTCATGCTCACTACGGGGCTAGATCGCTGCTCGCTCCCCTCATGACTGGAGTCCTCCGTTCCCACATCGTCGGCACCTGCATTCCCCTCGTTCAAGTCTTCCATCTGCCTAGAGGGCTAAACGCGCCTTCTTCTCTCCACACCAAGCGCCCAGGCCCTGCAAGACTAACGCCTAGAGGGCTAAACCCGCCCGTTAGCACTCCGACGATCAAGTCAGTAGTGATTCTAGAGAGATAAGTGAAGAGAGAGGTTTTAGTGTGAGAAAACCGACCTGCTTAAATGCCACCTACCGAGTGCTATTTATACTACTCGAGATTCTCGACCAGACTCCGACCAACCCCTGCCACCAAGCCTTACGTCAGCCAAGCATTAAATGCTTGGTCTGGTCCAACGTCCGAGCGCCTACATGTGGCGCATCGTCCGACTCTGGTGTCAGGGCGCACGGGGGGACCATCCGCCTACGTGGTGCTTTCCCGGCCCTTCTCAACCGTACTTCTTTGTCCACGAGCCTATTTTGTCGTCATGCGCCCCCTTTACCGTTGGTGCCATCCAGGTCAAGTATCAATGGGCCATTAATGGGCTTCAAGCCCATCAGGCTTTGGGCTTATATGGGCTCATCTATGTTTCCCCATCGGCATAATACTCGTGCAGCACAGGGGTTCGAGCGGCGAAGGAACTTAAGTTCACCGGGTGAAGGGAAATCAGGCACGCATGCTCCTTCTCAACACTAGTCAGTTCCACATCAACGTTGAATGCGGCAGTACTACCAACCTTCCAACGCCGGGTGAAGCAAGCGCCACTCTCATAAAACGAATATGTGTGCGCCTTAATGAAGATGTAGGCCCTATATAAGCCCAAAGCGCCACTCTCATACTGTTGGTTAAACTGAAGCATAAGAGCCGTGATCCCATACTGTTTGCCTTCAAAGACAACCCAGTTACGAGATAACCATATTCGCTACTAGGCGGGCTACGACCGGCATAACCAGCTCTGGCTAATGAATTATAAGGACAACAACCTTTTAAGGAATAAAGGAAAAGTTTGACGAGGCAGCCCCTCACCAAGGTACTCTCACCAAGGTACTCTAACCCAGAATAATCCCAAAGAGCGCGGGCCACCGGACAATAAAGGAACAAATGTTCCATTGTTTCAGGTGCATCCCAGCAAACCGGGCATCGAGGAAGCACCAAACTTTCTTCTCAATGAGAGCTTCTGTAGTTGGGAGGATCCGATTCAAAATCTGCCAGACAAACACCTTAAGTTTAGGCAGAATATTAGCTCCCCACACTCGAATCCAACTAGCTTTATCCATCCAACTGACCGAGGTCCTCCAACGACCACTCCGTTTCTCCAGGGAGACAACAAGGTGATAGGCCGACTTAACAGAGAAAATCCCATCCCGCTCATAATGCAAGATCAACCTATCCTCCACATTCTACCTCAGGAGAGGAATAGCTTTAATAGCTTTACAGGTAGGAGGATCGAACCACTACCCCAACTTAGCATCATTCAAAGGATTCCTTACATGTAACATTTTTTAGACAATAATTTCTGAAGTTTCCGCAAAGGAAACATGATACCTTTTATTTACTCTGCTCCCTACATTTAAATTTTAAACCATACAAAGGAGCATTGATAACAACTACACTGGTTGCTTTGTCGAGTCGAAATTGAGTGGGCACTAGTACTTGTAGTAATACTACAATCGATGCAATTGTTTACAATTTTGTGTATTAAGTTGTCCCATGAACATTTGTTATTCTCGAAAGTCCTCAAATTCTAGCCTATGGCATGATGCAGTAATTAATTTGACACATTGAAATAGTCTTACTCAATGAATATTTCTTGGTTTTTACTTAAGTTGTTCATGAGATTTGGTGCGGTAGAACGATATCTAGCGCAGCGATTTGTAGAGATAAAAATTAGACACGAGCAATTAATTAAGAGCACAATCACACTTTTGACAAAAAGGACATAATCAACTAATAACACATTACTAGATAACCAACAAAAGTTTATGTTATTCCTAATTATTAATCAAACAATGAAAAACTTAACAACTAAAACAAAGACTGCTAAATTATTGTTCACGCAGGATCTTAATTTAACCCTTTAACTATACGTGTGAAAAACATGAGCTCCATCGTGCCAAGCGTAACGTGAACTTCCGTTCGGTACAGACTCCCCCTGGAATTGAGACTGTTGCTTCCAGCCACCATCACGTCGAGCTTATAGTTCATGCCGTCCACCACCTGGACAAGGCCCCTCCGAATGCTTACGAGTCTCAACGGATGTTTGAAATTGTTTTCCAAGTTGTGCATTCTTACCGCAAACTTAGCAATCTCCTGGATGCGATAGTTATGTATGTTCTCTATCGGCTGCCACCCACCGTAGGGACTAGCACTGACGGTGGAGAGAACGACTGCGACGGTAGTCAGAGCCACGAGAAATGTAACAGGCTTCATCTTTCGTACGTAAGTGATTCTTCGTGTGATTTTGTTTAGGAAGATGTTTGATTGGTGTGTGTTTTGGATGTGAAGCAAGACTAACTGTGGTGTGTATTTATAGGCTATAGTTGAGCTAATCGATTTCTTTCTTTCATTTGTTTTTTTTTTGTCTTATACTAAAGTTGTCTATTTTTAGTTATGTATCCCGTTATTATAGATGGTGGGTATATTATTTTTGCAATTTTTATGCGTAAATTTCTGATTATAATATGGCCTAAATTTTAGTAAATCAGACAAACAGTTTTATAGCCCTTAAAAATGGGAAACTATACGACCTTGTCTTACAAGCATAGTATATGTACAAAAAAAACAAATTCAACCATCCAAATACGCTGAGTTCATCGACCAACTAATTACCCCTTTATATTATTAGAGAAAGAAAAATTGAGTACTTAAATACAAGAATTCATATCATATAGAAATGGAAGCTTTATATTGTTCTTCTGTTTGAGTATATTATCAAATCGATGGTTTTATTTGAATCTCAGAAATTTATATCATATGTCACGTACGCATTCCGCCATTAAAGATGACGATGATTATTGATTTTGTTATTGTTATGATTATTAACCAGTAATTAAAAGTGGCAATTTTGAATATATCTAGAATGGAGAACTAAAGAAGCAAGTGTATGCATGGAGAACCACTTGTAGTTCGACGGTAACATGATAATGCTCCAAATTAATGGTTATATATGTGTAAGTTCCAACAGTTTGTTGTGAAAGGTATAGAGCATTTTTGTGAATTTAATTGTGAGTACAATTTGGTGCTGTCTAAAATGAACCGATTTGCAAGATACAGATCTACAAAATATAAAGACAAAACATGGGTTGGAATTCTCTCATTTCAAATTTCGTGGCCAGAGAGTGATTCTAGACAGCAGGGGCGGAGCCACTTGGAAGGTAGGATGGGCCCCGGCCCCCTGGGATTAGTCTGATCCGAGCCCCCAGGTCCTTAAGGATATTTAGATAAAATTTGAATAAGTAGGACTCGTCCAGAATATTAGTTTATACAATTATCATGTAGTCTACTGGTAGCTAATCTAGTTTTTAGCCTTGAGCATCCATGTTCAATTCACAACTAACTCATTACTCACATTTTGCATTATTTTGAGTGATTCCAATTATTTTTAGACTATATTGAAAGAAAGGTAGCAAAACATTTAGTTTAGATGCTATTTTGAGTGACTTCAATTATTTTGTCATTGCACTCGGTTCATATTTATATATTAAAATTGTTATCATTGGAGTTCAAACCTTGGTCACTTAAATGACGAAAGAATATTATAATCAACTAGACTACATTTTATTTATTGTTATTTCTTTGATTAAACTTTAGGAATATGTTTGGTGATGATACTTCTATATTTATATTTTATCTTAAGTTATTTATATTTCTGCATAATATATAAAGGCAAAACATGGGTTGAAATTTTATTGATTAGAATTTCTAGGCCGGTGAGAGTTTCATGGAAGGGTAATATAAAACTTTGTGTTTTTATCTCTTCCCATTGATCCTCCTTTCCCGTTGCTGCCAATTACTAGGCCTAATATAAAACTTCAAATGGGCCCGGAATTAGTTGGCCCATTCACATTTATTTTCCTCATTTCAAAATTAGTAACAAATTATCAATGTTGTTATAATCTACCGATCGGCAAACGGTGCGAACGGCTAGCCGCTCGAGCCGCCCAACCAATTTTCAGCTCACCATCCGCCCATTGAATGACAATTTGGTCGCGCTTTGGAGATCTGGATTCTCGACATTGAAACAGAAAATTGAGAGTTTAGGAAGATGAAACAGATAGAAGGATGGAAGGGAACGGTCATTCTGGTGAAAATTTTGAAGAACTCAACCCATCGAAGGAAAAGTTGGAGGATAGATGATTTTGGAGTTACGTTTTTTGTCATTGTTTGCCAAGGATGAGGGGAAGAATTAGAAAACTGAACAAAGAGAGAAAGAGGGAGAAAGACGAGAAGTTAGAGAGCAGAGTAACGAGGAAGCAGGGAATAACGGCTAGGGTTCTTTTTCCTCATCACCAACTTTAATATGTGCTCCGTGAAACCTTGATTTTATTAAATAAATGGGCTTAAAGCCCACAAGGTCTGCCTTCAGTTCACTACAATTCGGAGGAAGAAAAAAAAATGTTTTGTTTTATTGGTTTTTATTTTTAAATTTCAATAATTATTATTATCTTGGTTCCTTTTTATTTCAACTACTTTTGTAACTTTGATTTGAATAATTGAATAATTGCTATTATTAACAGTTATGTTTATACTATTTATTATTCATGAGATTTAAGTGCTTTGAACATGTGTATTTGTTGCTAGCTCCAGAAGCTCATTACATCATCGTGTAATTTGAATTTTGGGGTTAGGCATGTAACATTTAAATTTGGAGATGAATCGATGGTATTGGGAAGAATTTGACTCTTTCACCCGTTGTAACAAGGATTGCAACAATTTTTTTGAATGTGTTAAAACATTTCTCTTGTTGCGGAATTTTAAAAATCTGTACCTTTTAGTTATCGTGAAATCATAAGACATTGGTGATATTTTGCTTCAAATTTATTGAAGTTGATTTACGACCCTGCTCTATTTTGTGCTTATTAAGTGAATTTGGAACATACGAGGCATCATATCAAATTTGGGACTAGCAATTTAGGTCCTTTATTTGTGGCTATCAATCCGCAATGTGCATTTTCAAATTGCCATAATTTCATATTTATAACCTTTGTAGCGATCAACAAAGATGATAAATACTTAAAAACATTTTGATGGATATATGACTATATCAAAGATCAATCATAAATGCTTTCTTATAAACATGTATATCTCTATTAGTTGCTTGAATATTATTGTTATTTACGCGCAATATAAGTGGTAGCAAGTAGCAACACATACAAATAGGGCTGGATTTTGGTCGATTCGGATCAACTGATAATCGAAGGATATGTTTTTGGTTAATCGAGCGACCCTCTAATAACTACCGAACCGACGTGGCGCACTCGGTCCATCGCATAACCGACCGATCGGTTATCGATTATAACCGCGGTTAATCGAGTTTAATAAAAATGAAATTGTGGTTGGTTTTTGGTTAGTTAAAACCGATAACCGAATGGTAACCCAACCGACGAGCAACCTGACCTGCTTAAAATCCATGAAAAATCACCTAAACTGAAGCATAAAACTACATCTAAATCACTCAAATCAGCGTCTCAAATCCAACAAGTGACCACCACAAATTTTCACGGTTTGAGAATGTGAATGGGGGGGGGGGCAAATTTTCAGTTTGATTTGAGGAGGGGGGAGGCCGATTAATGGATTTTTGGTGGTGGTCGTTTAACCGTCTTTGGTTATGCGGTTAACCGACCACCCCAACTTCCCTGTCGAACACCGACTGGAGCCCCTCATCCATCGGTTTTCGGTTAGCCATTAATCGATGGTTTTCGGTCATAATCGTCGGTTAACCGCTAACCAAAAATCAAATGGCCAACCCTACATACAAAATATAAAAGAATCAAACTCACCCGCCCACCGAGGCAGACCCATTGTTAGGAAATTTGAAATTCTGTATTTTTTTTGTAGCAACATATCTTAAATGCAATCTTATGTTCATACATCTTTCTTATTTGAATTCATTTCATTAAAAATATATATATTGGTGGTAGGAAAATTACTACATTATCGTTGGTCATATATTCATTGAGAGAGTAATTTGGAAATTCGCCCGTACACAATGCGTTGTCCAGCTAACCATTAGTGACAATTTCGATTATGTCCGATATATTTCAAATCCTAAAACTTCATATCTATTGCCTGCACTGTAATCAACAAGGATGTTGTCTATTGGAATAAACAATATAGAGAGATATTGAACTCTATTAGAGACCAATCATTTTCTTTTATCCTTTAGGTTGATTATATATGTATTATGCGAAGAAACTTTAATATTCAACTATATGGCCCACTTATTCTTTTCATTGAATAATTATATTTATCATATTTCTCTTCTTCTCATTATATTGTATGTATATTATGCATGACAGGTTGACCATAAAAAAACACATAATGCATCATTGGACATAAGTAAGGTAAAAAAAATACATATTGCATGCATTTATGAGCATTTATCATATCAATTATATAAATATTATTTTTCAGTCTAAACTCTCCCGACCAACGGGTCGGGCGCAGCGCTAGTATAAAAATAAAGAAAAAGTGTTGACTAAGGTGGACCCAAATGCATTTTTTTGGATTTGGTCCAATTTAGTTTTTTGTCTTTGTTTTAAAAGATTTGATAAATAAAAAAGATTCTAATTGTATTTAATTCTATCCCGTCCAATCAAATTATCTACTCGACTGCTATGAATTGCTTCCAGGTTTTTTTTTTTTTGAATAAAAAATTGCTTCCAGGTTAGTGGTCATAAAAAAAGAGTTTTTATTTTATAATTAGGCTTTTAAGTGCAAAATAATTATGAGCCTTTATAATCCAATTCGAATGGAAAAATTAATCAATAATCATAGACTCGACTTTTAAACGTGTTAGGTTTTTCCCCAACTCCGTGATTTAGTTGAATTTCAAATCATTAGCCACCACTCCGACTCTCCGAGTAGGATTCTTTTCCTAAATACTTTCTAACCAAATCAATCTCGTCACTATTTGTCCTTTCAAGGATTCCTTACATGTAACATTTTTTAGGCAGTAATTTCTGAAGTTTCCGCAAAGGAAACACGACACCATGGATAGCTTCTGGGGACAGGAACACAAAATGCTTCCACTCCAGAACAATGAGCCGACAAAGAAGGAATCGAGTATCTCTACTGAAAAATAATGAAGGTGAATGGATTGATGCACCGGCGCTCCTCCTTGAGTTAGCCCGGGTTTTCTTTTCGGCATTGTATATAGATGACGAAACTGCAACGGGCATTATTCCAGCAGGCTTTGAAGCTCTCCCAGGACAGCTATGGGAGCCACTCACAGCCCAATTCACGGCGGAGGAGATTCACACTGCAGTCCGACAAATTGGTCTATTAAAAGCGCCGGGTAAGGACGACTTGAACATACTCTTCTACCAGCGGTGTTGGGATTTGATCGGCCGAGCTGTTTGTGATTTTGTGCAAGAGTGTTGGCTGCACTCGGCCAAAATCAGGCTATTAACGAGACTATTATTGCACTAATACCAAAGATGCAACGTCCCGTCACCATCGATCAGTTCCGTCCGATCAGCCTTTGCAATGTGGCGTATAAGATGATTACAAAGTGTTTGGCGGAGAGGATTAAGCTGATCATGCCGAGGCTAGTGCTTGCTACACAGACAAGTTTCATCCCTGGGAGGCATATTACTGACAATATCTGTATTTTGCAGGAAGTAGTGCACTCGATGCGAGCGAAGCGTGAGCGCGTAGGATGGATGGTGCTAAAAATTGACTTGGCAAAGACGTATGATAGAATTAAATGGAGCTTCGTTCGTGACACACTGCAAGGTGCGGGGACTCCGGAGAAATTCATAGAGTTGACGATGAGTTGCATCACGTCCTCGACCATGCAGATTCAGCGCAATGGTGGTCTAACCGAGTCATTTACCCCATCCAGAGGCCTCAGACAGGGTTGCCCGCTATCTCCGTACATCTTTACTCTCTGTATGTAACAGCTTGGTCATCTTATTTTGGCGGCAGTTGCTCAGGGGGATTGGAAACCAATCAAGCTAACGGGACATGGCCCTGCTCTTTCACACTTATTCTTCGCCGACGACTTAATCCTTTTTAGCGAAGCTTCTTCAGAACAGGCGACGGTGATTAATCATTGCCTTGAGAGATTTGGGATGGCTTCTGGACAACAGGTCAGCAGACAGAAGTCGAGGGTGTTCTTCTCTAGTAATATACAAGCAACATCATGTACGACATTGAGTGCAGACCTAGACATACCGGAAACAAAGAATTTGGGCCGCTATTTGGGTGTGCCAGTAATCTATGACAGAGTTTTGAAAACAACTTATACTGAGTTAATTGATCGCATTGATAGACGGCTAGCAGACTAGAAAGTTAATTTCCTTTCAATGGCGGCCCGGATTACCCTCGTGCAATCAGTTCTAGCTTCACTACTGGCCTATACAATGCAGGCATCGTTTCTCCCTGATGCAGTAAGAGATTACATTGACAAGATGATTCGAAATTTTATTTGGGGGGAGTTCTTGCCAAGGTAGGAAGATTCATCTAATCGATTGGGAGACGGCTTGAAAGCCAAATGAGGAAGGGGGTTTAGGGGTACGTAGTGACACCCGGATGAACGAGGCGTTCATGATGAAGATCGCTTGGCGATTGATGAAGGACAACCTTGTTCTGGGAAGATGTGTGGTTGTTTGATGGCCCTCCCTTGGCTGACTTTGCTATTAATTTACCGGAGAAGGCCAGGAAGTTAAAAGTACCAGAGCTAGTGCTCAATGGGGAATGGAATGTGCATTTTGTGAGGGCATTTATTCCGGAGGAGATCGCGTCGCAGCTACAGCTACATCCTACTCCATTTGAAGAAGGTAATGATTCACCTTGTTGGCGGCTATCCTCGTCGGGTGAGTTCTCTATTAGCACGGCTTATACTCTGACTCGTGACGAGGAGACAGCGAGTGCCACGAGCCCACTTTGGAAGCAGGTTTGGAAGATCTCAAGGCCGCAACGCATCCGTCCTTTCTTTTGGTTAGTCATCCATGAGAAGCTGCTTACAAATGCGGAAAGGCAACACCGACATCTGTCTCAGGCGGACAATTGTCCAATATGTTGAGCAGGGCCGGAGACAACGCTACATGTTATACGAGACTTCCCGTATGCTCGGGATGCATGATTAGGGCTGGAGATTCGGTTTTTTCGGTTATAACCGGTAACCGAACGGTCAGTTACCGGTTAACCGCGACGCAAGGAATAGATACCGCCGACCGACCACCCTCCTCGGTTATCCGACAACCGACCGGTCGGTTACCGGTTAGTTGGTCGGTTAGCCGAGAAAACCGCACAGAACAGACAGTTTGATTGTAACCGACTGACCAAATCAGTAACCGAATCGGACAGTCACCCTACACGAACAAAGATTAATAGGGAGGGAATCAAGCAAAGAGGAAAAAGGGGTTTGGATTGGATGGGGAGAATTGGGGGATGAGAAACAGAATTAGGTTTGATCCCCAGCCCAACAACAATAAACAAGAAAGAACATATGCAGCTTAAGAAAAGGGAGTACGAGGGAATAATGGAGAGAAGGAAGAGTTAGTTTGTTAAATAGGGTAGCAGAAATTAAAGTTTTCTTCTCTCATCAGAGAATGGAAACCCATAAAGCAAGTTGTACTGCTAGTTGCAGAGGAAGAAGAAGTAGCAGTGGTGGTGGTGTTTTCTTTCTTTATGCAGGCGGCCTGCAGGGCAGATGGCTCCTTTATGCAAATGGGCAGGCGACGGCGGCAGGGGAGAGTGAGGGCAGGCGGCGGCGGCAGGCGACGGCGGCAGGGGAGAGTGAGGGCGGCTGCAGGGAGAGTGGGGAGAGGGAGGTCTTGCCGTCTCGCGAGTCGCGATGCAAAGCAGCAGGCAGCAGAGGAATGGCGGACTCGGATAGATTTAGGCGGATTAGGGTTAGGGTGAATGTGGAGCGGCGTCGTTTTACTAGGATTAGGATGCGCCGGTTAGTCGGTTTAACCGACGGTTATTACTATCGGTTAGCCGGTTAACCGGTCTCTCCAACCCCTCTACCGAACACCGCCCGAGGCCTTAATTTTCGGTTAGTCGGTTAACCGGTAACCGCCGGTTATCGATTTAACCGGCCGGTTAACCGGAAACCGATAACCGAACCTCCAGCCCTATGCATGATCACAAGTGCTGGGAGACGAGCCTGATAGATCCTTCTTTGAAAATGATTACGGAAATGGGCAATGTACTATCTGGCGGGTCGCAGTGCTATCATTCAGCCGACTTTATTTGCAGTTTTTTGTTGGAAATTGTGGAAAAACCGGAACTCCAAAGTCTTCGAGAAGGTGCTGCTGCAAACCACAAAGATTGCACTTCAAGTGAGAATTTATTGCCAGCAAATTGATGAGGCTTTATCCCGCCAACCGGTGCTGCAGGTGGAGAACACATCAAGCCGAGTTGTCCGACTTCTTAGATGGAGGAATCCATCACCGGGATGGACTTGTCTAAACACGGATGGTTCGGTAGCTGGTGGAATGGGAAGCACGGCAGCAGGGGGAGTCTTCCGTGGTGAGGATGGTCGGTTTATTAAGGCCTTTGCAGTTAACTTGGGGAGAGGATATATTACTCATGCGGAGCTAGCCGGGATCGTCCATGAGCTTCAATTGGCATGGAATGCAGGATACAGGAAGATCGAGCTGCAGACGGGTTCGTCCACGGCGATTCAACTCATACAGACAGCGACTGATCATAATCCGCATCGAGGACTGGTTGCGGCAGCAAGGCGGCTGCTTGGGTTGGATTGGGAAGTTCGTCTAAACCATGTCTACATAGAGGAGAATTTCGTAGCAGATTACTTGGCTTCGTTGGACCATTCTTTATCTTTAGGGGTTCATGTTATTGATAACCCTAGTCCCATTTTGAGTTATTGGTTGTATTTCGACAGACTAGGGGTACAAACCCCGTGATTGGTTAATTGCTAAGGGTTGGAGCGCCCCTTTGCGCTCCGCTTCTCACAAAAAAAAATTATATTATTAACCTTTGCATGCAACGAAAACGAACTCACGATGCATATATCTGACTTTGAAAATGAACGAAGGCACATACACACCATCATATATATGGCCTCGATCTTTAATTTCATAAGCATCAACGAAATCTACAACGATAGTTAGAGAACAACAAAAACTATCGGTATAAGATGGTGAATTCAGAGCCCAACTATAAGATTGTAATTGGTTAATTAAAGAGTTTAATTGATAGTCGTTGAACTACAAGAAGGAAACACTTTTATCTAACAAAATGGTATACATAACAAGCTTGTACACGACATTCATCAATGGTCGAATTCAGCGTTATCTAGACAATTATGAAAGTAAAAAACTCGATGAGTTGATTTGTCGCGATCAAGATGCTGGAAGGAGTTTTGTTGATTGAGAAAGAAGTTAAGTACAAGCCAAACGAAATTGATCACTGAGGGAACAAACACAATCACACTACTCATAGCTTCTTCATAGGAACATGTGAGCTTGTAATCTAGTTGTGAGAGGTTGCCCCTAGTCACTTACACAACTGAAGTGCGAAAAATAGCTTAATTAAGGTCATACATACATTAATTAATCACTTACACAACTGAAGTGCGAAAAATAGCTTAATTAAGGTCACACATTAATTAATTAATTAATGTATGTATGTATGAATAAAACATACATTAAGAAATCATTATAAAAATTGGTAAGATTTTAATTCCTTTCAGCCGTTCAAATTCTCCGAATATAGATTCTTAGCCTCTTTCTTTTCGATTTCTGATTTCTGGCTCCACCACCGACCAAAACGTTAAAACACGGTTACATTACACGTGTGTTCTTGTTGGTCAAAAACCCACAAGACACTGTTTTTCTGATTATCTGACCCAAGAAGTCCTTACCTCCATTTTTCAACTTAAGAAATCATTAATTTTTTTTTTTTTTATCTTTACTCTTTATGAAACTCCGCTTCAATGGAAAAAGGAAAATGAAGCAAAACAATAATGGTCCCACTTGGCCCCATGAAGTTTCATTCAATGCCCATCACAGTCCACAAACAACATATATTATCCAAATCTACCCCTCTTCTTCCCTCCCCTGACCCAGCAGAGTCACGAAAAGTAGTCAAGAAAAGAAACCAACGAGGAGAGAGTACATTCTCATTTCTTTTCAGTTTTATTTTAACTTTTTAAATTGGAACACTCCATTCAATTTCTTGACATAAACAAGTAACATCAATCCAGCTGGTTTGCCCTCTATAAAAATACATGACCAATATCTCCACTCCATTCCTTCCCCGCAGATCCCACTTCAACACCCACTCTTCGAATCTTCCTTCCTTCCTTCCCTCTGTTTTCCTTCCTCCCTTCCAAACCGAGCAGGGTGAAAAAATGTTGCAGAAAGTCATGGAAAGTTGCTGTGTGCAGCCCAGAGATATCGCCATAACCGAGAATGGCAGCACCAGTAGCAGCAGCAGCACCAACAACAGCAGCAATAAGATCATGGGGACGGTTGTGTTGATGAAGAAGAACTTGCTTGACTTGCATGACGTCAAGGCTTCGTTCCTCGATCGAATTCACGAGCTTCTCGGCAAAGGAGTCTCCATCCACCTCATTAGCTCTGTTCATCCAGACCCAGGTCAGGCCTTACTCCCCCCTGCATTGAATAAAATGCTCCATTGTTCAATGGTGGAAGTTTCTTGAATGCAAACAAAAAGGGCAATGAATTGGTTTCTTCTTCTTCTTCTTCTTCTTCTTCTTCTTCTTCTTCTTCTACTCCCTTCCTTCCCGTCCCAATCGAACAGTCTTTCGTCGAGTCATTCCAAGTCAGCTTATCAAGTAAAAAAAAGAAGCTAACAGTGGTGTGGTGGAAATTTCCTGCAGAGAATGGATGGAGGGGCAGGATTGGGAAAGCAGCCTTCTTGGAGAAATGGTTTCAAAAGATGACACCTTTAACAGCTACAGAGACTAGTTTTTCCATTACCTTCGATTGGGATCACTCCGCCATGGGCGTCCCTGGAGCTTTCATCATCAGAAACCATCACCACAGTCAATTCTACCTCAAGACCTTAACTTTGGACGATGTCCCCGGCCATGGCCGCGTCGATTTCATCTGCAATTCGTGGGTCTACCCTGCTCACAGATACAAATACGACCGCATTTTCTTCTCAAACAAGGTAATACAATCGATCTTTGAAAGTTCCAATGGAAGTCTCTGTCAGCAACTGTATTTTATTGTTATTGTGACATCAAGTGCAAAATGATTCGACTTCCTAGCCAACTTTATCTTTTGGCTTAACTTTTAGTTTTGTGCATGACAATATTGTCTCCCAATATGGCGATTGGAATAATAAGAGCTCAACGTTAATCTAAAGTTGCAGAATAAACAAACTCTGGTTAATGGGGTTTAATAGAATATTATCTTATCTCCTAACACAACTTTTTTTGGTCGTACTTTGTTCTGTTTCTGCTCAGACATACCTACCATGTCAAACGCCAGAGCCATTGCGTCAATACAGACAACAAGAACTTGTCAACCTGCGAGGAAATGGGAAAGGAGAGCTGAAAGAATGGGATAGAGTTTATGACTATGCTTACTACAATGATTTGGGTAGTCCAGATAAAGGTGACGCCTATGCACGCCCTGTTCTTGGTGGATCCATGGAGTATCCTTATCCTAGAAGAGGGAGAACAGGCCGAAAACCCACCAAAAAAGGTCAGGAAAATTGTATCAAATCATCTCAAGTTGTCTAGTATGTAGACACCTTACCATGTTTTCGCATGTGTTAATCACAGATCCAAAGTCAGAGAGCAGATTGCCACTTCTAAGCCTGGACATCTACGTACCAAGGGATGAACGGTTTGGACACGTGAAGTTCTCAGATTTCTTAGCATATGCTCTGAAATCTATTGCTCAAGTACTTCTCCCGGAGATTTCGTCTTTGTTCGATAAGACGATCAACGAGTTCGACTCTTTTGAGGATGTATTTGACCTCTACGATGGAGGCATCAAATTGCCAGGCAAGGCCACGGTAAGCAAAGTAAGAAATCGCGTACCATGGGAATTGCTGAAGGAACTTGTTCGCAATGATGGTGAGAGGTTTCTCAAGTTCCCCATACCTGAGGTAATCAAAGGTATGAAGTCTCAACTCTTTTACAAGTTACTTATGTTTTAGCCGAAAACACCATAAGTGAAGTTACTTACCATGGGGGCATGATGAATTGCAGAGGACAAGTCTGCATGGAGGACTGATGAAGAGTTTGCTCGAGAGATGCTAGCTGGAGTCAACCCGGTTATCATCAGCCGCCTGCGAGTAATAATCATTCATTAGCTTAAACCAAATCTGGCAGACTCATTTGTATATGATAATCACTTAAACTCATTGCATTAACAACAGATTACATATGAATTTTTCTGCAGGAGTTCCCACCAGCCAGCCAGCTAGACCCTAAAAAATATGGAAACCAGCATAGCACAATTAAAAAGGAAGACATCGAAATCAACATGAATGGATTCACCGTTGACCAAGTATAGTACACCAATTCATGATATGCGTCAATTCAAATTCAAATATGAGATTATTATTAAACACAACCTGGTTTTCCCTTCCTTCCAACAGGCAATGGAAAGCAACAGGCTGTTCATACTGGACCATCACGATGCACTGATGGTATACCTGAGGAAGATAAACTCAACCAACACAAAGATGTACGCCACAAGAACGATTCTGTTCCTTCAAGACGACGGAACCTTGAAGCCATTAGCAATCGAACTAAGTCTCCTACATCCGCAGGGCGACAATCGTGGTGCCGTCAGTAGAGTATTCACTCCAGCAGAAGATGGAACAGTTGAAGGCTCAATTTGGCAGCTAGCCAAAGCTTATGTGGCAGTCAATGACTCTGGCTACCATCAGCTCATCAGTCACTGGTTGAACACTCATGCTGTGATAGAGCCATTCATCATCGCGACAAACAGGCAGCTGAGCGTTCTTCATCCGATACACAAGCTTCTGCAGCCACACTTCCGCGACACGATGAACATCAATGCATTGGCCAGGCAGATCCTGATCAATGCTGGTGGAATGCTGGAGATCACTGTGTTCCCAGCCAGATACTCCATGGAAATGTCTGCTGTTCTGTACAAGAATTGGGTCTTCACTGAACAGTCCCTCCCTGCCGATCTAATAAAGAGGTAATAGCACTCCCACAACCATCAAATTTGATTCTTTCCTTGCAATCATTCTCTGACCTTCCTCACTTGTTTCGAATTTCAGAGGAATAGCAGTTCCAGACGAAACCAAGCCACACGGCCTCAAGCTTCTCATAGAGGACTACCCATACGCTGTAGATGGGCTGGAGATATGGTCAGCAATCGAAACATGGGTACAGGAGTACTGTGAATTCTACTACCCAACAGACGAATTAATCCAAAAAGACGAGGAGCTCCAATCTTGGTGGTTAGAGCTGCGCAACGAAGGCCACGGAGACAAGAGAGACGAGCCATGGTGGCCCGAGATGCAGACAAGAGACGACCTCAAACAAACCTGCACAATCATCATTTGGGTAGCTTCAGCGCTCCACGCAGCGGTGAATTTCGGGCAGTACCCATATGCAGGGTTTCTACCGAACCGCCCCACAATCAGCCGCCGATTCATGCCTGAACCAGGGACGCCGGAGTACAGTGAGCTCGAGCAAGACCCGGAGTTGGGTTATTTGAAGACGATTACGGCACAGTTACAGACATTGCTAGGGGTATCACTGATAGAGATTCTATCGAGGCATTCGACGGACGAGATTTACCTGGGGCAGAGGGAGAGTGACGAGTGGACTAGTGATGACGAACCGCTGGCGGCGTTCAAGAGATTTGGGGAGAGGTTGAAAGGGATTGAGAAGCGGATTACGGAGATGAATGAGAATCCGAAATTGAAGAACAGGGTTGGGCCGGTGAAGGTTCCTTATACGCTGTTGTACCCCAATACATCGGATTACTCGAGGGAAGGTGGGCTTACTGGGAAAGGAGTTCCAAATAGTATCTCGATCTGAAGAAACGGAGGCTAAAGAGGAGAAAAGATTGCAGCTTTTTTCATTGGGTCTCGCGAGATAACATAACCCAATTCTTTTTTCGTTCTTGTTTTTCACCGCTGTATAGAAGGTTGATTGTGGTAGCTGTTGATTTCGGCTGTGGTTTGTAAGAATGTGATTGGATTTGTGTAGCTTGCTAATTGAGAGGAAGCGTGTTCATACTTGTGAAATTGTAATCCTTGGGCTACCGGCGAAAGCCTTAGTTGGAAAACCCAGTTTCAGAGGTGACCGGAAGGTCTTTCTGTCCGGTGAGCGATGTACATCTTCCATTTAGGTAGTTAGTCGCTGATTCCTTTTGCCGCAATCAGAATTCAGAAGGGGATTTAAGCATAAGTGACTGCTGCTGATGAACGCAGAAAGGAATTTGGGCAAGTGAGCAACAATATGTCAATATCTGCACATGTGGTAGGGCTGGCCGTTCGGTTAGTGGTTACCGGTTAACCAGTCGGTTAAATCGATAACCGTCGGTTATCGATTAACCGACTAATCGAAAATTAAGGCGTTGGGTGGTTGGCGGTAGCTGATTTTATTGTGCCGGTTAACCACCTAATCGGCCAGCTAACCGGCAAGTGAGAAACGACGTTGTTCTCCTAACCCTCTTCCCCTGTCTCCTAACCCTAATAGAATTATCGAATTCGAAGGCACTCACTCTCCTTTCTTCCTTCTCCCCGCGACGCTGTTCTGAACTTCTGATAATCGACCCTCTTCCCCTGTGCCGACTGCCATTCTCCCTTCTCCCTCTCCGTCCCTGAAGGGCGCCGCCGCCGCCGCTCTACACCGTCGCCGCCCCATTCTCCCTTCACTCCTTTGGTCGCGACCCAGCAACCGCCAGTCCGCCATCCAACCCGTCGGCGCCGCCACTCCTCTGCTCGCCGCCAGCCAACCCGCCGGAGGGATAGTATGAGAAAGATGGATATGACGATGTTGGTCATCACCTCTTGCCGCAACTGAAAGAAAAGGGTTATGTAGATGTTGGTTCTTCTTCTGTTGATAAGTGATGAATTGGTGGTGACTTGTAATTTGTGACTTTATGTAGTTTATGACTTTATGTTCTAGTATTTGAGACATTAATTTGGTGATTTTAAATCTATTTTGTATGCAAAAATGATTGAAACTTGACTTGTGGAGTGATTTAGATGTAGAAATGTAAGGCTGAACGTTTAATTTTAGGCAATTTGTATCGATCTTGAAGTCACAGCTTCACAGGTGGCCTGGTTAGCGGTTCGGTTAATCGGTTATAACCGTCTCTGTCACGCGCTGCGGTTACTTCGGTTAACCAAGCAACTAACCGGTAACCGACCGATCGATTGCCGGCTAACCGAAGCATTCCTTCGAGCAGTTGTCGGTAGCCTTTCTCCCTGTATCGGTTAACCGGTAACTGGCATTTCGATTATCGATTATAACCGAACTACCGAAATGCCAGCCCTAACATGTGGCACGTCAACAACATCAAATTGACCAAGAAAGCAGATATTCCACAGATTACAGAACGAAAGGATGAGGCATTGGGTAAGCCTACGTGTCAAAATCCACCATTCTAATTGGTCCAATCCAAATTCCCCCCTTATCCCCTCCATCCCAAAAAAACTCTCACCACCACCACAACCTTCGATCCTTCATTCCACAAACCCACTCTACAATCTCTTACTTCCTCCACACTTCCTCTCCTTCCTCCAAACCCAAAAAAATCCTTCCTCCACAATCCATCCATCAATGGCAGCCATGGCAACCCAATCCACCCTCTTCACTCCCCCACTCAAACCCACCACCACCACCACCTCCCTCTCCACACGGAACCCCAAATCTCTGTCCTTCACTCCCCTGAATCTCCCCCTCAGATCCACCACCTTCAGAACCGCCGCCGCCGAGGGCAGCAGCGCAGCCCCCGTGGAAGCACCACCGGCTCCAGTCGGATTCACCCCGCCGGAGCTCGACCCGACCACCCCGTCCCCAATCTTCGGCGGATCCACCGGCGGCCTCCTGAGGAAAGCCCAGGTCGAAGAATTCTACGTCATCACCTGGGAATCCCCAAAAGAGCAGATCTTCGAGATGCCCACCGGCGGCGCCGCGATCATGAGGGAAGGAGCGAACCTGCTGAAGCTGGCGAGGAAAGAGCAGTGCCTGGCGCTGGGTACTAGGCTGAGGTCCAAGTACAAGATTAAGTACCAGTTCTACAGGGTGTTCCCCAATGGTGAGGTTCAGTATTTGCATCCCAAAGATGGGGTTTATCCGGAGAAGGTGAACCCTGGGAGGGAAGGTGTGGGTCAGAATTTCAGGTCGATTGGGAAGAATGTTAGCCCAATTGAGGTTAAGTTTACTGGGAAGCAGCCTTATGATTTGTAATTTGTGAAGAGTGGAGTGGGTTGGTGCTGCAGTGATCGATGATGTTTAATATGGGAAGCTTGATTAACGTGTGTAATCTTTTGGCTGTTGATTATGTTTAAACAAAGTGTATTATTGTTACTTTTGCTGCTGGTTTTTGGGTTTGTGGTTGTGGCTTGTGGGTTGTCTTTGCTCATGGTCATGGATGGTGTTATCAGGAATTCATTGCTTTGCAGTTTGCAACTACAATTACCTTCATATAGAATTGGGCCACTCGTTGAAATGTTTAATGGGCTTCTCTCTGGAGGCCCGAATCTGAAGTTCAAGGAGTAAGCCCATAACGCCAGTATTTAAGTCCACAAGCCCAGCGAATTATTAGCCACCAAGTCTACAAATATATTATGGATTTATGGTGGAGTTGGGGGCGGTTATTGAGGATTTCATGCTGGTCAGAGAGCAATTTTCGGTGCCCAAAATGGTAATTTACCGTTACTCAACACTGGTCAGAGAGCAATTTTCGGTGCCCAAAATGGTAATTTACCGTTACTCAACACTGGGCCTAAAAACTTCCGCTACACATTAAATAAACCAGCCCATAAGTGTGTTGTTTTTATTTGAACTCAGGCCCACTAGGTTCCGCTGCATCTTCTGATCCGCAAACTAAAAAATTAGAATAATCTACCCAATAAATAAAAGTCAAATGTGAAAACTTGAAGTCTCATTTCAAATTTTTTGCATCTATAGTGAAAATAGGAAGGACATTTTGGTCTTCACAATTAATTTTTTTATTCATTAAAAAGACACTTACTAGGATTCGAACCATGACCACTTTAAAGAAAAGCAAAGTTCCGTTGCATCTTCTGATCCGCAAACTAAAAAATTAGAATAATCTACCCAATAAATAAAAGCCAAATGTGAAAACTTGAAGTCTCATTTCAAATTTTCTGCATCCAGAGTGAAAATAGGAAGGACATTTTGGTCTTCACAATTAATATTTTTATTCATTAAAAAGACACTTACTAGGATTCGAACCATGACCACTTTAAAGAAAAGGAAAGATCATAACCAATCACACTAATTACATTTGTTGCATCTTTTTAAATTAAAAACATATAATCGCAGAGAGGAAAAAACTCTTCCCCCATTTCAAATTCCCTGCTCCAGGAGCGTTTGTAGGAAGAGTAGAATAGGGAGTGTCATTTTTTTATTTTTCCTCTGTGGAACGGGCCAACTTACTGTACACATGCGGATTTAAACGGGTCCAGGAGTGTCAATTTTTTTCTTTAAGTCCTTTTATTTCTCCGTGGTGGTAAAATATATATGAAAAGGCAAAAACAATACTCCTTTATATTGCTAAAAAGAAAAAAATTTAACAATAAACTAATGCATAGATTCTAATGGGCCAATCATAAAATAAAAGAGTTGAATGGTCCTGACCTACATGGGATTTGGCCATCAAATAAACAAATGAATATCATGAGTTTGCCATTTTAAAACAAGCTATTTTCTCTAGCATAATATATATTATGCTATTATTTTATATCTTAGTGGCTAAAATATAATGTATTTTAAAGTTATTCAATGGTTCAACCTCGACCAACCCAATTACTCCAATTTTTATCATTTCAAATATATATTAATAATATTATGTAATTATTTGATATCATAATGATTAAATTATAGTGTATATTATAGGGAATCATTTGGTATTTATTAGTAAATAACTAAACAGAAAGATCTATTTGGTTATTTTTAACATTAAAACGATCCTAAACATTTCCAGTTTCCTTTCAAAATTCTATAGTTTTATTCCCGAATCAGTGATGTGCAAATTAGGGGTGGAAATTGGGGTGAGTGTGGTTACCCGCCCCACATTTTACGGGTAACCACATTCACAAATATAGAATTATGCTACCCACAACCCGCCTCACAGTGGGTAGTGGTTAACCACTAGCCGCTGCGGGTTGGTGCGGGTTGGTTGTGGATATCCACATTAAAAATAATAATATGGTAATTAAATAGTGATGTTATGTTTTTCTCATACAAAAACAAAAACATACATAAAAGAAATTTAATGAAGTATTAAATAAATTATAAATCTCGAATATAATAGGTTAGTTAGTGCAAATTCAAACGAGATGGATTTGGAAAGAGATTTGAAGATAACGAAGAGGCGGAGTAATATGTTACCCGACTAACATCGTTGCATGTCACAGCTCCTCCGATGACAACAACAACAAAACACAAAAGTGGCTAGATAAGTGGAGGCGCCCGCTTTTATTGAATCGATTATTCTCCACTCTCGATAATAGTCTTGTATTGTTTGTAGCTGTTTTAACGAATCGATTAATTTATCTGACTATATCTATGGACTTGGTTTTGTTATAAAGTAAACATATACCACAGGGACAATGCTTATTTAATAAAAGTATTTTCATATGAACATTGCGTATTGACTTGGTTTTGTTTTATAGAATGAGTGCATATTTGATTTTGGTAACTAGTTTAATTCTTAGTCTTCAAAGTTTCACAAACTAATATAACTAATGTGGTTGATGTGGGTTTTGTGGGTAAACCGTTGTGGATAGTTGTTAACCACTAACCACAAAAAAATCAATATTTTGATACCCACACCCAACCCGCTATCCACAAATTGTGGATATGGGTATCCACAAAGTGTGCGGTTTGGTGCGGTTTGCGGGTTACCCGCAACCCGCAAACCAAACTTCCACCCCTAGTGAAAATGGCGAATTGCAGTCATCTCTTTTTTTCATTATTTTTTATTTTCAAATAGAAAGATTAAAAGTAAAGAATAATTAGAGTTTGGCATGGGTCGGTCAAACAGGCTGAATTCAAGTTTTGGCCCATTATGATCAAGTCTAATTTATAATCACATGGTTCCCTGATACCCGATAAAAATCTCAATCCAAACTAGTTTGGCAAGTGAGTCCGTGTTTACCACCATTTTCTAGGGATACAGGAACGGTGGTTCATATCCTAAATCGTGTTGTCATTCTTGATTTCTTTAGATTTTATCATGGCTTGGCAAAAAACCAGAAAGCACAATGATGACAAGATGAAAGTTTTATAAAGTAAATTAATCGGCCAACGGGCCGAGTAAAAGCTAGCAACGATTGTGAGATGCTCATTTCCCGAAAACCAGCGGGATAGGCGATTTTTTATTCGATTTTCGGAAATTCGGTTTTTATAAAACTTACTCCACCTCATCATATTATCAGAAACAATATTGTTTCACAAGGTAACAGGTACTTGATTTTGGTTCATAATGCTGATTTTTGATTCGTTGCATCATTCATGTCTCTTTCCTACTAAAATTAACTATTTTTATCACGTGTTTCCAAAAAAAACTATACAACAATAAGCTATACACCTAGGGATGGCAATCAAACCCATGGCCGCGGGTACCCGACCGCTCCCGACCCAGTCAACGCGGGGAATCCCCGCTTTGACCGGATATGGGGCGGGTATGGGTAAAACCCGTAAAAAGTTTGATGGGTATGAGGCGGGTATGGTTTTGGCCTCCCCCACCCCATACCCATACCCGCCCCACTAAGAGAATTTCTACACATATAAAAAAATATGTGTGGATTAAATTGTAATCTATCAATGGTGATGAGGATAACTCGAGGAAATAAATAGTAGAAATGCAATTGAGTGACCACTTTAATCAAAATCTAATTCATTTCCCTCAATTCTACTTTCACTCTTTCATTCTATATTATGTATTAATGGATGTTTTAGGATCATATACTTTGAACCGTATTAAGAAAATGATTGTGTTTTGTTGACTTCATGATATTATAGGTTTGTTTAGAGTTATAATTAAAATCTTTCTTGTAAGTTTTAGATATAGTAATGTTGGATGTACGGGTACGGGTATTACCCATGGGTACCCGAAAGCCACGGGTATGGCCGTAGGGGTGTACATGGGTCGGGTGGTCCGGGTTTAGGCATTTTAATCAACCCATGCACTACGGTTTGGAAAATATTAAACCCAAACCCACCCAAAAAAATCTAAACCCTACGGTTTGTTTCTAATTGGGTTGGGTCGGGTTGACGATATTTTTAAGTAAAAACTCAACCCAACACAAAATATGTAATTATTCTACATTATAAAATATTTTATAACAAATTAAAAATTCAAACGAATAAACTGAGGTGAAAGGTATCAAAATTCACAAATATTGTTTGAATTTTAATAAAACTTGATTTACTTCAACTTATGTCTAGTTTTTTTCACGACATTTGTTGAAATAGGTTAAAAAGGTTACAAATGAACGCATCCATAATATGATATTCTTTTAAAATTGTACACAAGAAAAAAAAAATTACGTGAATTATAGCTATATTAAATATATGTCTAAACTTTAAGTCGAAGAATGCATTAGATTAGTGAGACTTTAAGAGAAAAACATGGCGAAATATCTTTATTTTCTTATAAGTATGACTATATACGACATAAATATTTTTTTGGATACGAACTCATACCAATAATTGGAACACGGGTTGGGTCGGGTTCTACGGGTTGTGTAATCCAAAATCCAAACCCAACCCAAAAGAGGCGGGTTGTACAAAAGAAAACCCTCACCCAACCCAAAACCTTCGATTTAGCGATAAATACGGGTTGGTTGGATCGGATTGGACGGGTGGTTCAGTTTGCGGGTGTGTTTGTTCACCCCTAGGTATAGGGATGAGTTTGCAAAACATTCCCCCGCATAGGTATGGGGTGGGTATGAGTTTGGATATTTGAAGATGGGGATGGGGATAGTTTAGACAAACCCGCCACAAACCCGCCCCATTACCATCCCTATATACACCCCATTACATTATCAAATTTCATACCTCACCTTTCTCCGATATGGCCGGGGGCCACGCTAGTTAAAATAGTAGGAGGGAGTGAGGGACTACGTCTGAAAACGAAATTGCTGGTGAAATGGAGAGCTCTGCACTGCAGCGTTTGGTTCCCACTTTCCAGACCCACCTTGAGCCCATCTCTATCATGTTATTATCCCCTCCAAGTAAGTTATAATCAAAGACTGAGAGATCAACGATAATGAATGGTTATATATAAACCTTCTAATAATAATAATAATGATTTTATTAGGACCGGTAATTGATTTTATTTTATAATCAACCACGAGAATCGAGCATCTGAGAGGTCCTGATGGGATTGAACCATACGTCCTTATCCTTCCACCAATCATTTAATATCGAGAGGGACATGATTATGATTCATTGTTTAAAAACTAATGACGATTCTTTCAAAAAAAAAAAAAAAAAAACTAATGACGATTAGATCAACACAATTGAAAGCAACTGCATGCAGGAGTGAGTATATATATATCGGCTTATTATAATATTGGCCTCTCTCTCACTCAACTACCGTTCCTAATTGGCAGCGTATGAACTTAGCGTGTCATTTGAGATTCCACTAATAAGACGTCTATATTGCATTCTTACTTAAGTTAATTATGTTGTTGATTCAAATTGTTTAATCCTATGTTGGTGGAAATATTGGAATATGAAGTGGACTGAACAAACTTATTATTTATCACAACTAATTTTATTAAAGCTTTTGGTGATAATTTGTGGTTCTTGTGGTTCGAGTCACCCTTCCATGTGATTATAGTAATTTCGATGCAAATAGACGTGGATGTCAATAGAACAAAATTCATCTGCGATTCAATTGGAATAAACTTTTGTATTTTCTTGTATTTTTTCTAATGGAACATTTATATATTTAATCTTATTTATGAATTGACATATTTTCTTATTATCGAGGATGACCATTCACATCAGTTTGGATATTTTTGATGCAATATAAGATTGAAACTCGAGACTTGTTAAAAAACTTTCTATTACTTTACAAATAATTTGATAAAATGATAAAAGGAACAAAATACTAAAATGAAGAGGAAATATCAACACGGGCTTGTTAAAAACTTTCTATTACTTCACAAATAATTTGATAAAATGATAAATGAACAAAATACTAAAATGAAGAGGAAATATCAACACATTCATAAAATTAAAAGATCACTTAGATTTCAGTTTGGCTTCCTTTATTATTTTTTTTATTACCTATGAACCACAGCCTCACGTGTCACTTTGTGACAGCAAAACTTACTAAATCTGAGGGTCACCTGCAATCAATTTCGACGCCAACGGGGCCTTCCCCAACAGCCTCATACCTCCTGAAACACCAATATGACTCGCTTGAATCAAACATAGGATCTGCAACTCTCAAATCTTTGTTGCTGCGGTGCTACCGTTAGACTATCTTTACCTTTTGGTAGTTTGGCTTCCTTTACAATAATGAAATGATTGCATTCTTCATCCCGTTTACCTAATTAACATGCTTCCTAGGCATATGCTTGAGTGCGGTCAAATTTGGTCGAACAAATTGGTGGAATATCCTAATGCATATTAATCGTGATCCCATTCCCCACACCAACCCAAGGCTTCTTAACAATCGATCATATCAAAATAACAACAAACCCAGGAAGGTTCTAGAAAGCAACTTTACATTTCTTATTTCCACTTCTTCAACACCATGGAACCTCGTTACAAACAGGGCATTACATTAAACCCATTAATTAGTAATACACATCACATGTACAACTTGTTCTTTTTTTTTTTCTTTATTTGTCACGCCCATCACGTTACTCTAGCAACTTGTTTACATCTATGTACCGTTCCGACTTCCGATTAGGCCCCCACGGTGGCCGCGGCGGTAACGAGAATCGAATCCATATCGCTCTTGCTCTTGCTCCGGTTGATCCGATCGCCGGCGGCGGCGGCCCAGATCTCCGGCACCACCTGTGCCAGATTGTGGATCTTTTCCAGCACGTAGTCCGCTTCTGGGCTCTTCACCGTCTTCCCTACCTGCAAATCGAATCGGTTCCAATTATTGGTCCATTTCATCAATTCTGTCGTCTTACACGTGTCCAGAATAGATATTTAATTTTCACCCTCACTGTTAAAAAAAAAGCACAAAACGACAGATGGAGAGTAAAAACAAAAGTAAAAAGTTTACCAGGACGGTGGAGAGGCCCAGAGCTTTCCCTGCTGCCACGTTGCGGGAGTTGTCGTCTAGAAACAGCTGTCCTCCAAAGTAAAAAATTGAATTAAATTAACCCACGGCTGTAAAAAAGAGGTGGACGCTACAGACAAATTATAGGAAGGCTGATCGGCGGCGGGAGATAGGTATTTACCGTGCGGCGGGGATCGACGTCGGCGGCGCGGAGGGCGATTTTCATGGCGTCCATGGAGGGCTTGAGGAGGACCGGGAACTGGTCGGGTCGGGTCGAGTTGGGCAGGTTCGGGTTCATGGTCTCGAAGCAGATGATCTTTTCGAAGCAGTCTTCCAATCCTAGCCTTTTCAGCGCCGCGATTGCGTGGTTCCTGTCCGAGTTCGTGAATATCTACGCGGTGGGGAAAATTCAATTCGTAGTTAAGTTAATGATCGGGGGGAAGAACACTGTCTTTGAATTAATTTGTTCACCGGACTTACGATTTTCCTTTGGGGGATACTTCTCAGGAGGTTGCGTAGTTGAGGTTCTTGCTTGATCAAGTTGTAAGGCAATCTTCCGTGCACGAAACTGTTGAAAAAACGCCGAACTTTTGAGTCCATTTTCTTGTTGGGAGTATGCCAACGATATTTATTAACCAGGGGGGAACAAAAATACAAAATTAGACAAACCTGTGGTATTCATCGGCGTCGATATTGTAACCTAACGCCTGCAGAAATTGAAAATTCTCAGGAAACAGAACAAAAAAAAAAAAAAAGATGAAAACTTTGATCGGTGGTGGGGATTCGTTCACTTACCCGTAAGCCGGCGAGAGAGCTGCCGTAAGTCTTGAAGAGCTCCGATCGGAGACTTGGAGCTTTGTGCTGGGAGAATCCACATTTCTCAACCAGAAAATCTGCCAGTTGGAAAAAAAAAACAGGGGATGATGTGAAACAGGGGACTCTGGAGATGAATTTTAATGGTGTCAGGGGAGGGTTTTTTTTTTCACAAATCAAGTTACCGTCGATGTTGTTCCGGAGAGCCTCGGCTATTCCAATCTTGGAAGAGTAAAGGGTGTCGTCCAAATCTGTTTCAAACAACGAACAACCGATCAGCGATCAGATCAAAATTTCGATAAAAAAAAAATAGAGTCAATTTGATGGAAGTGGGGCAGGGGGAGTAAGTTACCGAAGAGAAGGCAGTCGAAAGGGGAGGAACTTTTGCTGTAGGAATCCATGGCAGTAAGGAAAAGATTGAGATGGTGGGGGGGAAAGGAAATGCAGGTTTTTGGGAGGTTGGAGTTGTGGGATTGATGAACACTAAACAGGCGGAGGGAGGGGATTGAATGGGAAGATGGGAAGGGGGATTTATAGGAAGAAGATGATATTTAGTTTTGGGGAAGACAGGGGTAGAGACTGCTGAGTCGGAAGCCCAATCTGTTTGTCAAGGTTTCGTGAAGCCGAGTAGATAAGGGCCCACGCGTTTATCTGTCAATCAAATTAGAATTATAATGCTATAGGACAAATGGACGATATTGCCCTCCGGTCAACGGTTGACGTTAAAGTTTTATGAGTGTTTCTATCATGTTCCATGAAACCGTACTGGAAAATTTACTAGTAGGGTATTTTACGGTAAAATCGTGGTTGAATCGTAGTTCAACTATTAATATTGTTGAATACCGCCTATCGGAATAGCCTCCGATATTAGTATTTTGTGGTTGAACCGGTACGGTACGGTTTAATGGACCATGGTTTCTATACGTCCGAGTTTTAGGTAGAGGATCATCTTCATCTTACTGTAGAAGTGTGGGGGTCTGGTTGCGTTAAAAGTTTTTAAGAAAATATTTAGCATGTGGAATACGTGACTGGTGTGACAGCAGGGAATATTTTAAGCGCCCATTAAACGCGGCATCTTATCTGGGGCTCCACCTAATATGCCTTTGGTTTAAGACTTGAGAGCTTAGTACCTTTTACAAAGGCCATGGTAATCGTGGAACATATGACCAAATGCCTTTGAATTCTCATGACGACTTTGCACAATGTTTATGCGAGTAGGTTTGGTACATGGAAAACGATTTGGTATTTGGACAAAAAGAAATTAGCTTTGTTGTTCATTGGGAGGGGGGATGAGGGTTTACGGGGATGTTTTTTTACCGTTAGTTGACAACCAATGTCGTCATTTTGATTCGAATTTTAGTTCGTTTTGGATTTAACGATAATATGTATGATTTGTGGAGGTGGCTATGATCCTCGGTTCATAATATGACAATTACAGTTAGGATAGACGTTTGTGAAAAGTGTAGAAAGTAAAGGTAGAGAGAGTTTAGATACACAAGATATATGTTAGAAAAAGCGAAACACCGCCACTTTTACTCAACATTTTAATGGCTTATGAAAAAGTGTATGCCTACGTGTTGGCTCGGAAAAGTACCCGAGGCTAACATAATAGTAATTGGGGCTCCGATCTGGACTCCCTTGCTCGATCTCTTTGGGAGGTGAGGAGTTTGTGAAAAGGAGGGGGGCGACTCCTGTGATCTACACTCCAAAGGTCAAGTTAGTGCGGTATAGCTATAGTCTGTAGGGAAAGTAGAGAGAGTATAGAGAAAAACCTTGAGGGGAAAAGGAAGAGGAGAGGAAGAGAAGTCCCTATCTTGGAGGGCTTAGGCTTCCTTATATAGGAGACTTGGTCTTCCTTAGTGGGTTTGGACGCAAGGTGCCCTACGAAAGGCTTGAGCTCATTGATGACGTAGTTGTTTGTTGTCTTAGGCCGATTAATACCACACCCAACACTATGAAACGCTCTTCAACGCTGTCCAAGTGTTAATTATAGGTACATTTGTGTAAATAGCCACCCGGAATAAGGGTTGGAATCACAACCTGTATATATGACTGTAATCTGTACTAAAGACTTAACGAAATAAGAAAATCTAAAACCCGAAAAAGAGACCCTCTTCGTGAACTAGTGTAATGCTGACGATACTACGTTAAAAAAGTTTTGTGTTCTTTACTTTAAGCTTTGATTATTTGATACCGAGTACTATCCTTCCAAGCTGAATTCTTTAGTTCTTCATCCATATATACATTTGTGTCCTTTCACGAAGAATGCATCATTTCACAAAGGTCGTGATTGTTAAAACTTAGACAAAATGGGTAGAGACTTAGAGAGAGTTTATGAAATTATCGCTTCCAAATTCCAATTGAACCCCATTCTTTTTTTTCTTTCACCCAAGACCCAACCAATAAAAGTTTATACCAGGTTAGCATGAAAGAATAAATGAGATACCAGAAAGCCCAAAGAAATTGAAAAGATCTGCAGTGGTAATGACTAATGACTGATTTAACAGAACATTAGCAGGGTGGGTTGGAGAATGACACAACATGCACATCGATTGTGGTTGTCTTGTCGGTTCTTCCAATCAAACAATACCCCACTGATTTGGGCTTACGTATTGCTAACCTGCCTTCCATTCCTTCATAATGTCGAACAAATAATGTCACATTATTGCCTAACATAATTCCCTTCTTTGCTTTGCCAGCATGCATGCTAGCATAATTCTTTTTTGTTTCGGTATTCATTATAGTTTTAGTTGGGTTGTCCAATCATATCTTTTATTTATTTTTATATTTGATTGATAAGTCAAATAAATTTGAGTAGTCTAGATTGGGTGGATAGAAACGAAAATGCAAAAATCATAATCAATATGTTAAGAATGATTTATCGCAATTGTTTCTCCCCAAAATACGGTCATGTCTCTCCCAAAAAATTTCGAAGTTCGAACAAACAATCTCCTCTCATCCCGAATCTTTCCTTCTTTTTCCAATTTTCTTTCAATAAGAACCCGAAAATGGAAAGAAACAAATAGCACGACGGTTTCAAAATTAAAATGTAGATATATGTATTGGATTGGAGAAGATAAGATGATTTATGTTGGAGGAAGATATCAAAGATCGGGCCCCAACTTTTTCATTAATAGTTTCCCTCACCCAATTCGCACGCTCATCACTCTTCTCCTTCCTCTCTTAGCTTTATTCTCTAAATTCCAATGGAAACAACAAGCCAAACCCAAATCAATGATAAAACTGTAATACAGAACATACATATATTTAGAGAAAAAAACTACAAATATGCAATTGAAAAAAAGAGAGGGAAGCTTTCCGTTGGTTTGATTATAGATCGATTATTTTGGTCTAACCTTGTCTAATCACTTACTAGGCGATAAGTTGGTTAACTTACATAAATCACCATTAACCGACTATACAGTTACAGTTAACCGACACAATAATTGATTAACGATTAATCAATGACCAAAAGAATAGTTGTAGTTATATTCAAACCGAACCGACTAACAACCCATGTCTACACCATCCTAGTAATAAAGTTTGTCGGAGTTGGCTCGGGAGCAAGGAGATTAGACCTGGCAAATTAAGATGTGAACCTGCCCGGAAAATAGAAGTTTTATAACCCGAAACCCGAATGAACTGAACCCAATTAACTCATAGTTTTTTGGGTCACGTTGGGTGAGCTAGCAGGTCGACCCATTAGACCCGTTCCACTTCATATGTCACTCCCAAAATAATAAAATCACTCATAAATTGGTGATAGGTTTAAAAAAATACTCAGGGATTGAAAGACATGTTTGGAGTTTAATGATAGTCAAATATCATGTGTTTCTTGTAGTTGTATTACTCTTGAAATTATTTTTTGACGATTTTGTGCAATTTGTATTTCATTTCATGAGAATGAGAGGATTTGAATTGACATGTATTAGGTAAACTATTTCCATGCATATGTGAAGATTTGTGTTTCTTAAAAAAATATGAAGCATGTTTGATATTGTTTCTTAGAGCGCCCACAACCTGAAACGACCTGTAACCTGACCCAAAACCTGATGGTTTGGTCAATATTTGACCCAAAATCAGCCAACTCAATAAACCCAGACAAATAACCCGAGGCTCCAAATAAAAATTACCCAATTTGATCCGATTGCATGGTGTGAAGGGGATGATATGCACATCATGGAATGAATTATGATGAATGTGGCTGCGCTATGAGCCCACAACAATATAACTCGGTTGGACCTGACTGAGCATAATCGAGCCCAGCCTGGTATTCCATGTTCCATCTCTTAAGCGGCCCAAAAGCAATCTCTCTGGAAAAGCCACAAACACCCAATTCTACATAAGGCCTTTGTGAGCCCATTCAAATCCAGTGACATACGTCAAAAGCAGCAAATGCCAAATAGGCTGGCGGTGCAATTGTCAAACCTGCCTTGTTTATCAAGTGAGATGCTCTATTACAAAAATAGTTTAGTCTACTTTAAGATGATTCTCATTATCAACGCAAGTCAACGACAAAAGACAACTATGCCATCATTTTTCACACACCAAATGAGGATATATCATATCATAATGTCGTCCGGATGAAAAGAAGACTTACATAATTAACTTACAAATACACCATATAGTCAAAGTAAAGAAATACAGAGCATTTCATCAATCAATATATAAAGATGTCGCATATAATATAATTTCATTTGGCGTTTCTTCTTCATTCCTTTGCTTTCACAACTTCTCTTCAATATTTTTTTTCCTTCTTCTTTTTCACGGTTTGTCTTAAAGGTCATTTTTCCCATGGCCGTAAATGAATCTAGCTGTTCCTTCCGTGTAAACGTGCGTCTCATCGTACAACCTACAAACAATCCAAAAGTCCATTGTATAAGGTTTAGTTGTAAACTAAAACAGTAATAAATACCCGACTGCTTTGTTTCTTATAATCTTCGTAACTACTTACGCATTTCGAACAACTTTGTTTAAGGTACACACAGAGGAGAAGGTGGTTCCATCTAAGTACTTGTTCTCCCCTTCCACTCTCTGTTTGATTCTCAGGTCCATCTCTTCACAACTTAGCTCCAATGGACTGTCCGAAGCCTGTGATCAATGGAGGAAATGATGAATGTAATGAAACCAGATTGAAGCTTGAAGAAGGAGGGTAATGTAAGGGTAGTATAGTAATAGCACCATGACCCATCCCCAAGTGTCAGCATAGGAAGGAATGTGAGCAGCATAAGGCACAACATCTGCCATTTGCGAAATGCCAAACTCATCAATTAACATAAATAATAATATTAATTATTAAACTTAAAGAAGTGAAAACTAATAAATCCCATTCATTAACCCCTTTTTTAAGCTAATACAGTTGCTTAATTACTTACATTTGAACACCTGCCTCAGAGTGTTGTAGATACATGTATACACTTCAGTGTGGCTGAAAATCCCAGCCGGTCCAGCCTGAGTGACGAAAATGCCCCCCTGAGCCAGCCTGGGCTTGACAGTGGACTCGTAGAAAGATTTGGTGTAGAGCTTGTAGCATGGGCCTCCCTCAATTGGGTCGGCCAAATCCCCAACTATCACATCAAACTTCTCTTCTTTTCTGTTCTCTAGCTCAGCCCTGGCCCAATCAAAAGCCCATTCCCCCATTAACAAAGACTAATTAACAGCAGCATGCTATTAGCCTAAAACTTTAAAAAGTGTAATTTGACTAATTAATTACCTGGCATCATTGATTATGACATCAAGCCTGGGATCATTGAAGGCATCAGTGTTCACAACCAAGTACTCCTTGCAGAACTCGACTACTTCCTGCCATGGGTAAAACCACAGAAGTGCAATTAGCATATACTAATTAAGCCTTATTAACTTTAGAGATATATTAGTTATAGAAGTGGTGGTGTAAGTGTTAATGCTAAGTACCTCGTCAATGTCGCACATTACAACCTTGTCCACGGTTCTGTGTTTAAGGATCTCTCTGGCGGTTGAGCCCTCACCTCCTCCCATGATGAACACTGTCTTTGGACTGCTTAAGAAGATGGGATTAGGAATGTAATTAAGACAAAGTGTGAGATATTAATGATGGATTTTAGTTGCTAATTAATAATTACTTGGGATGATGAAGGAGGGGTGGATGGACAAGGCATTCATGGTAAATGAACTCATCCACCTCTGCACTCTGAAGCTTCCCATCAATAACCAGCGCCTGAGAAGGTTAAACAAAAATGATTAATCAATAGTAATAAAAAAAAGATTAATCAATAATCCCATAGTAATTTTGTCAAGTTAAAACAAAAAAGGCTAATAGTCAAACCTTGCCGAAGGGTTTTGTGTCGAACAGGGCAATCTCCTGGTATTGGGTGGATCCTGTATGTAAAATACTGCATCCCAAAATAAACAAATTAAATAACACGTTAAAAAGTAAATAAATGATTTAAACAGAAAAAAAAAAACAATAAGTTAGTTGGAGGGACAGAAGAGATAATGGTGTTTCCTCTTGGTCCTTTGTAGGTGAAACCGTCGCTGTTCCTTTTATTAAAGGACTTTTGTGATTTGTCGGGCTTTTCTGAGAACTGACAATGATTATTATTTTATTAATCAATTAATTAGTTCTCTTAATTAATCTCCCTTTGTTGACATTACTTTCTCACTGTTTGTTATTAACCGGTATAATCAGGCTCAAGGGTGCAAAAAGATGACCCGCTAATTAAAAACCCAGGAACCCAACAAAAAAAAAAAAAAGACCAAACTTCATGATTATTCATATGCAATTCCTAACTAGGAATCATCATACTTACATACCCACAAAGAAAATCACGACAACGATCGTCAGTGTAATCAAAATATTAGACGTATAAATGGTTTGAAGTTGAATTTACTCTGATCAATTTTTTTTTCTTTTTGCTCGTTATAAGAACATGTAATGCACGTACCTATTGAGAGCGAAGCACCATCGCAAGTTCTCCTCGATCTCTTCCTCGTACCAACAACTCTTCCTGTAGCCACTAGGCGGCGGGGATGAAGACGAGCGGCTCAAGAATCCATTAATCGGCTCGCTAGCACAAGATATCTCACCCATATTGCTTTGTTTTTGCACACCAACTAAACCAAGATACAAACAATGAAGAAGAAGAGTATAGCTAGCTAGGGAAGGTGAGTAGAGAGGATGGAGGGGGGATATGAAGAGAGGAGTGAATGGGTGAAGATATATATATACAAGAAGAAAAGAAGAACAAGATGGTGGCATGGCAAGCAAGCCAGTAGAAAAGTGGCAATGATGATTTTGGGTTTTGAAGGTGGAGATCAGATCCACGAAAAGGAGATATCAGAGTGATGTGGGCTAAGGAAGAAAATCCTCATGGGGTTTCGTAAGGGTCGTCCTAGTTATGGGGGAAGACAGAAGACAGTGTTCGAAAAGGTTAATGTGGTCGCGTGGGGCAAGGGCACTATATGTGTCCATTGGTCGCCTGCTCTCCATTAATTCAATCCTGTCAACATAAAACCACGCTGGATTTTCACCACCATGAGGGTATAAAATGGTGCATGCTTTTGCTAGTGATCGCCCCACAGATTAACCCCTCCACTTATGTGTATGGTACGAGGGCACATTGTTATGTTAAAAACGCACATTTTCTTATGTATTAAGTGCGGTAGTGGACTATCTAAAGGTGTGGGAAGTGGGAACTACCGATTACCCCTGAGTTTAAAGTTTTTCATCTGGTGGTTGTTTCGTCGTCGTATTTTGTCGATTGTGGAGGTCTTGTGGACTAGGGAGGTATATCAGTACTGGCGAGGTGTTATGTTCGATGTGTTGGGAAGATATAGATTCTTTGGAGTACCTTTTTTCCTTCCTCGTTCGGTACGGTAGCCATGCTGGGATATCGGGCCGCGGGAGAAAAAAAGATGAACTATCTGAGTCTAGGTTGGCAAAGTGAGAAAGATGAGTTGAGTTTCAAGATTAAGGTAAAGACCGGGCCGACCCAGACCCGCAGGCAGGGTGCGGGCTAGACCTACCACACAAAATGGTTAGGCATGGTTTGGTTTCAACCGAATCGAACCGGACAACAACAGGTAACAGAACGGATGGAGGACACTCTATGACTTGCAGATGTAGTCTACTCTCTGGTTATGACACCTCCACCTGATAATTGCCAAACTGGGCGAACTCTGGAGATTAGGCAAGGATCAAGGACTGGAATGGGAGCAGTGGTGTAGCCAGACTTTAAACTCATTGGGGTCCTTAAAAAATTAATAATACCAACGAAAGTCTATGTATCTAATAAATTTTGAGTTGATTGGGGTCCTTAGTTACCACAAGTATTGACGAAAATATGGGGTTCTATATTTACAGAATTATACCAAAGCCTATTCATCTAATGGATTTCCCCTGAAAAAAATTTCCATGTGGGGTCCTGAGACCCCTCTCCTATTGCCTTCCCTCCACCACTGACTGGCAGGACTATGGGGAGGAGGACGAGTGAGACTTTGCCATGGTAGCAACGAGATTGGAAGGTATGGTGGATATAACTCTACTTTTGAGGATGAGGACGATGGCGATGATATGCTTTTTAGGGTCAAGTCTCCGACCATTGAGTTTCCAAGTTTAACGGCAAAAAGGATGTATGACTGTGGTTGTATGTTGCTGATAAGTGGTGCGAAATCATGCCACCCATGAAGAGAAGGACTAGGGAGACACATCTTGCGTCCTTCTATTTAGAGGGAGATGCTCTACAGTTGTGGGAATGGATGGAAAGATCTTATGTAGAGGCAGAGATGCTGATCGTTTGACCCATATTTAATTAAGAATTAAAGTTCTAGTTTTACAAATTAGAAAGGTGGGCGCCACAGTCACAAAACAAAATGCATAACCTGACAAATTCTCTTAAACTACCCAACTCTTAAATAAGAAAATACCAAATAATACCTAAAAACCCTCTAAAATTACTAGAATATTTCGATAATTGCAAACGTACAAAAAAAATGTCCAAATATAAAAATAGATGGAAACCATTTTCCATAAAAATAATTACCACAAAATGTTCGAAATCATGCAACATACTCCTAATCATCTATTGATATGCATGCCTATCCATGGACTGTCTATGGATATATGGATTCATCAACACTACTACTATTAATAATATCTTTGGGTTTCTCAAAAAAAATAAAAATATCTTTGGACTATCTATGGATATATGGACAATATCAACACTATTAATAATATTATTATTATTTTCCTTATTATTATATGGATGATTAGTGTAATTATTAATTAGCCGTAGGTTTTGGGGTTGTGGAGTATAAATACCCCTTGTATCTCTCATATTCAGATTGTCCAGAAAATAAATCTAACTAAGAGTTTCTTGGTTAAAACCTAATCCCTCTCTATTCTCGTCTAAGAATCCTATCCCTAATTCTATATCATCTAATTCTGGTCCAATTCTCCTCTCCTCTCATCCAATTTAAATCTCTGTTCTTAATTCCTGAATTTATGACGCATGACGACCATCATACATGCATAAACTATTCCCCCGAATGTTCCACTAACGATTTACTGTTCTTATAACATTGTGCATTGAACTAACTTAGCATGAACACACTTTTGCCTACCTCATCTCCAATCTTACCATCCACAATCAGCTTGAGGGAGGGTGGTAGGCAGCATAACTAGATCAATATGTTAAGAAACTAGTTCGTTGCTGGATACATATATAGCTAGGAGCTTATATGTTAGTTAGTGAGACAGAACAGTATAGCAAATCGATTCTAGTAACTTGAAGTAAATCTCTTTATTGATAAAGTGGAAAAGGCGAAGAGAAGATGGGAAGAAAAGGATAAAAGAAGATGATGATGATGGGTTGAGGAGGGGATGATGGTGGTGGTGACAATTACCCAAAATTCTGGCCTCAAAAGCAATATTCTTTGCTTGAGGAATGTGTCTGCGATTCTAGTAGAAACTTAGATGGAAAGTGAGATATCTTTGTAGAGACAAGGGAAAGGCGTGCAGTGGAGACCATCATCAAGTGTGATATTTGGGTTTTTGGGGCTTACAAGAGATCATGGAGAAGAAGAGGGGCGTGCCAAATTTCCACTCCACACGCACTCATCATCGCCACCTTCCACTCTCTCTCTGCCCATCAATTCCCCACCACCACCAATATATTTTTCACTAAAATCGAGCCAAGCAAGGTAATGTTACTCGCACAAGTCATATAACTTTTTGTTGATACATATGGCCTCCGTCTCAATGGTTCTACTCATGACCAATAACTTGGCCAAATCTCTCGTGCTTGTCCCTCAATGATATGTTCCAACCCCCATCAATCCCATGTCGAGCTCCAACTAGTTATCTTGATCTCATGTTGCCTTTCAACAAAAAAGAGGTTGAAAAATCTGCTATAGTTAGCATCCAAATTTATTTGGTCGGTAACCAGAATCGTATTTTCTATGAGTTTATCACGTTTCCTTATTTCGTCAGTAAGGGATCTACTCTTTGGATTTTAAGACGAATTGTGGAGATTGAGGTGTCTCAAGGGTTAAGGTCGCCCTTAATTTGCATCGGAAAACAAAAGAAAAAGATAAGAAACTGAACTACTGGATGGGGACAAAGTAGAAAGGAATGTGTTGCATAGGCACGTAAGCTCCTCCCTAGAGTTTCCTTAGACTCAGTTTTGATTCGTTAACTGACACATACAAATGTGGTTTAGTGATTTCATAACGAATTCCTCCACTCACAACGTTTCTATGTTCAATTGTCCCCCTACGACAATTATCTCGTGAGTTCCATGATAGGGAGACACGTGGGTCAGCCAACAGTATGATTTGCATATGTCACTTAGGTAAATTGGTTACTTCTAAGACGTGCATGACATTTGTTGCCAAAGTACATAAGAGATTCATTCCTCTCACATCATCCAATGCAGATATCAAAGTATATGGATTGGTGAGTTCCTATGTCGGTAAAACAACCTCTGTATGACTTAATGCTCGAATGCTGGCCGAGTGGCTCTATTTATATCCTCTTTCACAAGGTTTTATGAGAGAGAAAGTAGGAGTGCAACTCTTATGGGCAGATCCCTCTAGCTTATTTCTGGATTAGCCTCTAAGTAAAACATATCCACATAATTTTGGGCTTATCTTGGTCATCTGAGAAATAGCTTCCGAGGTGCCATTTTGGTCCAGTGGTAATATTGGTCCAGTTGCTAAGCATATACCATTTTGGTCCAGTGGTAAATTGATCCAGTTGCTAAGCATATATAATATTTTGGTCTAGTAGTAATATCACTAATTTTAAACATCAACACCCATCTGGAATATACATCATCTATGGCTTAGCATATACCACTTCCAAACCCAATAGTCAAGTGCATTAGTCTGTGCTAACTGCTAAGCCTTTGCACATGAGCATAACAATATTATCAATGGTGCATGAGACAAAATCTTAACGGTAAAATGGTTTAGTAGAGATTTATTAATTCTGGGATACTTATCTCACTACTTAGCACTCTGTTTATAAAGGAAATTTTGGAAGGTACAACAAATTTGAGAGCAGGAAAAATATAGGAACAAATGTTGTTTTACGAGGAAAAGTAATGAAAAAAAATAGAAGAGAAAAAGTAAATTGAGAATTTTGATATATATATGTTATTTTATTGATGAAGTTATTGTAAAATAATTTAGTTGTGTGTGGATAATTTTTTTCCCCGATAATTGTTGTTGTTTTCTATTAAGCTCCAACCTGGTCACAATTATGAGCAAGTTCCTAAAAAAAAAAAACTTAAGATACAAGATATCTATGCTACAACAACTACTTATAACCACTGTCTCACAATTATAGCAAACTAGACAACAATCACTAATCAAAACAGTGTAGTACCTAACATCTACACTCCTTGAACTTGAACCTACATAGCTAATTACCAAAATCTGAGCACCCAGAAACATAGTAATTAATATCCTATTTTAGCTGTAGCACCCGTGCTGTTAAATTCCTTGCTAGTTGCTTGCCTATCAAATACTCTTCCACACCTCTCTTTCCAGATTGCTGCAATGATCCAACACCACAAGCTTCTTATCACAACACTATCTGCTCTCCCTTTTGTACCAACAGACATAGTTGCTTCAGCATATCTTCCCACTGGTTTGGCCACCTGATAGGAGTTAGAATTGCATCAAATACCTCCTTAATATAAGGACAATGACAAAAATGGTGGGCTCTACTTTCATCGTCTCCATTGAACAACCCACAATTAGCATATGTTATATAGTTCCATGCCAGTAGTTTATTCTTGATAGTGACTTGGTCAAGGATAATGAGTCAGGATAAGAGTCGATTATGAGGTAAACCATACTTCCCCCATAGAGATAGATACCAAAACATAGTTCTATGCTAGTAGTTTATCCTTGGTAGTGATTCTGTTACTTTTGATAATGTTTCTATTAATTATGTTAGAGTAGAATAATTAAAATAGTTTGTTAATATTACTTTTATTAATTACATGTCATGAATTTTTTTTGTTTATTAAATTTAAATAAAAAATATCTCACTAAAATCATCCAAAATCAACTTCTTACGGAAGATCATCACACTCAACATTGCATAGCGTTTTTTTTACCGGAATCTGTATAAAATTGCATAGCGTTAGAGGAAGTGAAAAACAAATAAAACTAACTTCCTACTATGTATCTATTTAAAGGGGGCGAGTTGCGCATGAAGCAGGGATGTAGGATTTTAATGACTGCCTCCAAGATTGCTCCTTAACCGATTTGGGATTCCGTGGATACCCTTACACGTAGAACAACCGGAGAAGGGCGGGAGTTTACATTGAAGAACGGTTAGATAGATATGTCGCAAATGATAAGTGGCGAGAGAGGTGCCCTTGTTCTAGAGTTCGACATTTGGATTGGGCAAAGTATGATCATCCCCCAATCCTTTTTCAAACCGCAGGTGAAGAAGACGAAGAAATCAGATGGGGCTGGTCCTATAAGTTTGATCCGTTTTGGAGAAAACATGTGGAGTGCGCACAGGTTGTATCAAATGCCTGGAACGAGAATACTACTGAAGGGGCGATAGGTAGGCTGGAGTAGTGTAGTAAGAGGTTAACAGAATGGAGCCGTAACACCTTTCCCAGTTTCCCGAAACATAGAGAGAAGGTGATGAGAGCACTCAGGGCTATTGAAAGGATGGAGAAGACAACTGCGGTTCTTGAGCAACGACACCAGCTTGAGGCAGAACTAGAAAAATCAATTTGGACGAAGAGGATTATTGGAAACAAAGATCCAGAGCGGATTGACTGCGAGATGGTTATCAAAATACAAACTTTTTCCATCGGAAGGCCACAACGAGAAGAACTAGGAATTTTATAAAAAAGCTATGAGGAGAATTTTCACGGGACAAGAGGAGGTGACGGGTTGTTTAACTACTACTATGTTAATTTGTTTAGGCAGGAGAGAGACCCAACGAAACCCCGATGCTAGACTCTATATCATGCTTAGTTACAGAATTTGATAACCAGATGTTGTTGCGTCCGTTTGCTAGAGAGGAGGTGGAGCTGGCGCTGCGACAAATGGAAAAAAGAAAAGCCCCAGGCGGTGATGGAGCTTCGGTGTTCTTCTTCTGAAAGTACTGGCCAAAAATTGGGGAGGAGGTAGTGAAGTTGGTGTTGAGTATACTTGAACGTGGGAAGATGCCGACACAGTTAAATTACACCCTGATCGTGTTGATACCCATGGTGAAAAAAGTGACCATGGCAAAGGAATATCACCCGATCACCTGAGCAACGTGCTATATAAACTGGTGGTCAAAGTACTTGCTAACAGGCTCAAGGGCATCCTCGATAAATTCATCTCACCAGCACAAAGTGCGTTTATCCCAGGTCGGTTCATAACGGAGAACGTGATGGCAACTTTAGAGTGTTTCCACTCGATGAGTAAGAGATCAACGAGGGTGAAAGGATACATGGCAGCAAAAATCGACATGGCCAAGGCATACGACCGTGTTGAATGACACTTCCTGGCTAATGTGATGCGATAGATGGGTTTCCACGAGGATTGGGTCGGTCGGATGATGATGTGTGTACAAATTGTGTCCTATTCCGTATTGGTGAATGGGCACAGATCTTTCTTTCCAGGAAAAGGTATTATACAAGGGGACCCACTTTCACTGTACCTGTTCCTCTGTGCACAGAGGGGTTGTTAGCGTATACTACGAAAGCAGTACGTGATGGGTTGCTCCATGGATTTCGTGTGGCACGGAGAGCACCAGAGATATGTCATTTGTTCTTTGCGGATGATAACATATTTTTTATCTGAGCCACGAGAGAAGAAGGATGGAACTGAAGAAACTGCCATATTGATGATAAATAAAAAAATATCATTTTGGGAATTTACCCGAAAAAGGTTTGGCTCATAAATTGTCACTACCTTCAAAAAATAAAATTTTAAAACAGAGATTAGGATCCATGGGCCTTGGCGAACTGTCTAGGTACATAGGCCAAGCCCATAAGGAAAAAAACAAAACAGAGGAAAACTAGGGAAAAAAGAGAGACAAAGGGGCAACACGGCCCATTCCAAAATGTGGGAGAGAGGTGGTCGGTATCCATTAATTTCGGCGGTCGTCGTCGTGTCTCCCTTCCAATCCCTACTTCATTTCTTCTTTCAATTCTGCAAAACCTCTGCAACCGGTACATAATCTTCCTGTAATTTTGATCTATCTACTACAGTTGATCTAAGTCCAATTCTTTCAAATTGGTATCTTTACCTATGTTTTCGTAGTATAATTATAATGGGAATGGTGGAAGGAAGCTTTGATAATCTATTGGTGCTAGAGATAACTAACTACCAAATCTGGGTTTTGCAGTATAACAATGGGAAGACCAGACTCCTATTATTTCCTCGAAGTCACGAAATTCTACGCCCATTTCAGTCCTTCCCCACCAAACCCGAACTCGTCATTGTCGATTTCTATCTCCTTCCCTTCTCCCCTCAAGTTCCAAAATTTAGCAATAAGTGGGCGATAACCAAAAAAACAACTCTCTCTCTCTGAATTATGATCTTCCGCTGTAGCGGCCGCCTTCAACGTAAACTCCTGTAAGTCTCTCTCTATCTGGTCTGCGATGTGTATTAGTCTACTTGCTAGTCCTAGAGTGTCTGAAATTTGCAAAGTTTTGAGCTTCAGTCGTCACCAAATCTGTTCTTTCTTCCACTATAGGTGCTCCTCTATGAAGATAGTGGAAGTGGAACCATGCCTCCTCAAATAGTATTGATTGCGATCCGCTGGGAGAAAACAAGAGACAAAAAACAAACACAGTTGAATATGCCACTCCACCACTGGGATTGTGCTGCTTCTGCTTCCGACTCTGCATATTCTAGTTCCCAACCCCTGCCATGGGGAGAGTATAAGGTGTTTCTGAATTTCAGAGGCCCGGACACTCGTTATCAGATTACCGATATCCTCTACCATTTTCTTGTTAATTTGAGAATCCAAACTTTCAAGGACGAGGATGATCTTTAGAAAGGGGAAGGGATATGGCCCAGTCTCGTCATCGCCATCGAGCAATCCAAGATCTATATTCCCATTTTCTCCGAGAATTATGCTTATAGTAAATGGTTCCTCAAAGAGCTGGCTGCAATTGCTCAGCGCCCATAGAGGAATCAGGGTTGCATCAGGGTTGCATCATTCTCCCTATTTTCTATATGGTGGATCCCAAAGACGTCTGACATCAAAGTGGGCCTTATTGGAATGCATTTGAAGATCACAAGAAGATTTTTGACGAAAATACTGTACAAGTTTGGAGAGATGCTTTGAAAAAGGTTGGAGCTATGAAGGGATGGCATGTTACAAGCAATGACAAGTAAGTAACCTCACCTTCACCCTTGCCCTTTATTTCATCATTTACCAAATTATTCATTATCGAATTTGTTATGAAATTCACGTCTTCTCTCCCGGCTGATATAATTGAACATCCTATTTTCCAGACAGGGTGAGATAGCCGATCTTGTTACTGGCGATGTGTGGTCACATCTAAGTAAGATCAGTAATGCGTTAGAGAATGATAAGCTTATCAAATTGATGGTCACATTGAAGCAGTAGAAGAAAGGATGACCCTGGACTCCGGAGGTGTGTCAATTATTGGTATTCATGGTATTGGCGGTATAGGTAAGACCACTATTGCCAAGGCTGTCTATAACAAATTATATGCTCAATTTGATCGTTGTTGCTTTGTGGAAAACGTACGAGAAATGCTACTTCATAAGGATGATGTTATCAGTTTGCAAAAAGAAGTTAATCTTGGACATTTTGAGGAGGTGGAATTCTGTTGAATCCATTGCCAGTTCTAGTAAAGTTATACAAATTATAAGATTTAGGATTTCGCGTTTCAAATGTCTTGTTGTTCTGGATGATGTGGATGAGATGTTTGAATTTGAAGAGATGTTGGGAAATATCAGAAATTTCGTTTTGAGAAGTAGATTTGTCATGACTTCCAGAAACGTAAAAGTCTTGAGTATTTCGGCTGAAGAATGCAAGTTGTATAGAGTACTAGAAATGAGTCATGGCTACTCACTCCAACTCTTCTGCAAGCATGCTTTCAAAATGGATTCTCCCCCACCAAGTTATGAGACTTTGTCAAAGGATATTGTTGATGTTGCAGCAGGACTTCCATTGACACTTAAAGTCGTAGGATCACTTTTATTTCAAGAGGACGAAGCAATTTGGATAGAAAAACTGAGGTAGTTAAAAGAGATTTCCGAGGAGAAGGTTGTGGAAAGGTTGAAGATAAGCTACGGTGCAAAGCAGATTTTCTTGGATATCGCTTGTTTCTTCATTGGAGAGGAAAAAGAGCCGCCTTATATGTGGAGTGATTGTGTTTTTTTTTTCGACGACTAATATCAATATTCTTAAGCAGACGTCTATGATTGAGATTGTGTTTGATACTGAAAAGAAAAAAGTGTTCCGAATGCATGATCAACTCAGATATATGGGTAGGGAAATTGTACGTCAAGAAAACAAAAGACATCCATGGAACAGAAGTAGGATATGGTCAGAGGAGAATGTTGTTGAAATGTTATATAACAAAAAGGTAAATTCCCCAATCTCGCTTCTAGTCCTTTTAGATTTTTGTAATATATGTATCTGATAGCCACAAGCGTTCAAAAGTCCATGGGTAAACACCCAGACCTAGTTTATCTGTGTATATATAGTACTTCTAGGATTATAGTTGCAAACTAAATATCTTGTACTGATGATCATTTTAGCTTGTAAAATCTGGTGGGTTCCAACTTGAATCATTAGTCTAAAAATATAGGAATTTAAACAAAAGGAAACAAATCTAAACCATAACTTTAATATTTAATGATCATAAAATGAACTCTTGGCTAAATAGATGATAGGACAACATGTTTTAGGTATAGGCGAAAACAACTAATACAATCATGGTCAATCTTGGTGGCAACTACTTTTGCTTTCTTTACTTTTCATTATTGGATTGTTGATTTCATTTTTTTAGGGAACAAACACAATCGAAGGCATTAGAATGAACCCATCATCCGATGATGGTGTTGTGGATGAGCTTGAGATTGTGGCAAACCTTGAGAGCGAATGCTTTATGAATTTATCAGAGATGAGATACCTTGACGTACAAGCTAAGATGCTCCCTAGTGACTTCACTGATTATCTTCCAAACTTGAGATGGCTTCGATGGAAGTCTGGAAATTCTGCGTGCTTGCCTAAGTTTCGTGTGAAAAATATGGTTATTCTCGAACTCTTAACTCCTGTAAAGGATGATTGTGGAGGTTTGAGACATCTTGTGAAGGTATGGGCTATCGTTTAATAACAAATCAAAAATGGTACTTGTTGAGTTTCTTGATTAATAGTTACCGACTGACTATCGTACATGCTCTTGTTTTCCCCTATTTTTGTTAATTGTTTTCATGAAAATGGCGAGCAAGCTCAAAGTTTTGAAATTTGTGGGTAAGTTCTTGATAGAATATCCTGACTTTCCACGTTCCAGGAGTTTAGAAATATTGTATCTCCAAGATTCCAGGCTTCGATTGTCCCATAAGGATCTGGATATTGGGAACTTGGGGAATCTAAAAGAGCTGCATCTATTGTATTGTGAGGTAGGAGAGATAAGGGGTGGAACCATTGGGATGGTGAAGGGTCTTCAAGAGCTCAATATCATCAATTTAAGGTTTGAGAGGAGTCTTAATGCAGTACTTGCCGATATAGAGGATTTGCAGTTTCTTGAGAGTAGACGTAATAACTTATGTGGGACTGAGATCGCTTTACGAGAATTTGTTACTGGATACTAAGCTTCCTAGAAGTTTGAAGGAGTTAGAGACTACATCTCCAGTTGCTAACCTTGTAGAACTGGTGGAGTTGGAGAAACTAATGGTTCGATATTCCGAGTATGGTTTTGAGATCCTTCCAGCAGATAGTAGTGATATGCAGTGGAGGTTATCTAAATTGAAGTCTCTAACACTGGAAGAAACAAAGTTGACTACCCCAACTAATACTTCTTGTCATCGTTCCTTGTTGCTGCTTCCATCATCACTGACCACCCTCCACATTAAGCTTTGTCCAGAATTTCAGTGGCTTCCAAATCTTGGGAATCTGGAACACTTGGCTCACTTGTACATCTGACACGCCAAAACACAACACCAATCTGCGACCAAGTGTAATCGCAGACCGGGACTGCAGTAAAGTGGCAAGTTCTATTATCAACCCGGGGTCTAGATCTACTGCTTACTCAGTGATTATCTATTATCTAGCCAACTAAGTTAAGTGATTGTTGTTTAAAGCAAAAGCAGAAAGAAAGCAGGAATTGGTACGGTTTTCTCAAGCAAAGAAGAGTCACTCGGGAATGAGTCCCCCTAGCTCCTTAGTTAGGTTTCAATTGTAATTTCCCTGGGTTGATTTACTGTTGATTAGACTGCAGAAGATCCGACAGTAGCTTGGAATCTCTTAAGCTGACCAAGCCCTCTCAGTCTAACTACCCGGCAGACGACTAGTCTTCACCGGGATAGAAAGCTGAAGCAATAAGCACAGAACTCCACTACTGGAATTGAATTCCAGTACAAAGCAGTAAACTGGCTAACTCTCGTATAGCCAATCTCCTACTACCGAATGATGAGGCTCTAACAACCTAATCAGATTCTATCTATCTCAGGTTGCAGCAAAAATCAAGAAAAGCTGATCAGACTTCAATTGACTCAATAAACATGCATCATTCGATTAAAACCAAGCAGTAATATCATCCCAAGTCATTACAATCAAATCCCTAACACATAGAACTAGGGTTCTTCATACCCAAGTGAGAGAAGGGTTCTACTCCATAGAGAGAGAGAGAGAGAGGAAAACAGAGTACAAAGCAGTCATACTCATAACTATGGGAAGAATCTGCTCTGGGATGATGATTTCCACTCCTATGACGATCTCCAAGCTCGATTTGATGAAACCCAGCTCCAAGATGGCTTCTAGGATGTGTTCTTCGTACTTTCTCTCTCTAGGGCTCTGTTTTTGCTCTGAAAATCCGATCTTCTCACTTGTAGCCCGAAATTGGGTTAAAACCAGGAATTCCCGACTCACACGGGCAGGGCCACACGGCCGTGTGACATACCCAGTTGCCCGTGTGAGGTCAAAACGCCGCGTTCCGATTAATTGCACTTCAGGCTTCCTACACGGCCAGGGTCGCACGGCCGTGTGGCTCACCTTGCCTGGCCGTGTGAAGCCTCGCAGAATTCCACACGGCCAAACAGCAACTTCACACGGCCGTGTGGATTTCAGGGCAAGCCGTGTGAAGGCTCGCACAATCCCACACGGCCAAATAGGTCACTTGCACGGCCGTGTGAGTTGTGGGTGTGCCAGTGTGGCTTCCTTTTTGACTTGCCTCACGCCCGATCTTCGTCCAATCGACCCCGAACTCGCTCCTAAACCTTCATTCACTTGCTAGGACCTGAAATATCACAAACAAACACAACCTAGCGTGAAATCGGCCTAAAACACGAGAATTACCATCTCAAACGGCTCCAGAATAGGGGTAAAAACATGTGCAATTAACGGCTTATCAAACTCCCCCACACTTAACCGTTTGCTTGTCCCCAAGCAAACCAAGTCAGACACAAGGTAAGCTCACAAATTTCAATCATACCAACATTGGGGACAAGTCATATAGGCACAGAACACGTGAATCATACTGGTTTTCAAACATCAACACCTGAACAACCTCAATAGCAACCTGGACAACCACCACAGAAGACATTCGAGTGCAGCAAAATCGAGTAAAGGAGGAGTCTCCCTTCTGTTCATCAACCCACCTAGACTTGACTCAATCACTCACTCAAGACAGTCAACTCATGCACAAAACTCAAGATATCAGAAGAGAGACCGAGCAATCTAGGTCCTCACCGGGTAAAGAGTGTGAAGAACAAGGAAATGAATCGCTCACTCTCGACCAGTGGGGTCAGGACAATTTGATGCGAAAAAATGCGCATACTAATTCTCTCAATTCCTAACATCTCTTCACCACGACGGCAACCTCTAAAGGTTAGAGTTCACATAAACGGTTGTCATCACTAACTAATCAGAAGGTCTTAGACACAGGTTCCAGTGACTGGTTAGGGTCTTGAACATGGGGAAAAGGCCTTTTAGGTGGTGGAAATATTAATAACACAAGGTTCCACAATTCCAAACCCAACAAACTCACAGTCAATCAAACTAGTACTTTCTTTCTGCTATTCTGCATTACTCAAATTCAAAGCACAAGAGCGAAGGAGGTCACATAAATACCAGTATTTCTAAGCCAGACTGCTAAGAAACACTACTTAATGGGCACCATTCAGATTTTTGGTGGTGGCTCACTTTTGCTTTCATTTTTCTTTGTTTTTCTTTCATTTTTTTCATTTCTCAAGAGAACCACCACCTCTGCACATTTTCAAACTCCTACCCAACCTTTTAAGAACTACCTCCAACTCTCACATTACATTTAGCAGAAACAGCAGAGAACATGTAAAAATTACTCTGTGGAACCTTCTAAAAGATGCAAAAGGGTGACTTTTCATTGAAGACCGAAAGAAAGACTACACACGGCTCAAAGGGGCTGACTAGGGGGTATGACACACCAGGATAGTCAATTTGGTCGTGGCTAATCCTATGCCTCCATCAGCTTAGCTAATGACAACGTGAATGCTACACATCATGGAAGAGGGAACTATCACACAAGAAAGAAACGAGCAGGCTCAAATCTCACATGGCTACCTATATGCTCTATCTCTCATTCTGATTCCCTGAACTAGATGCATAAGAGACTGTCAAAAACAAGTAATCAATCCAAGTTACAGTTGGTAAGCAAACAGTTGAAAAACTGAACCCTACACAACTCTACTGCACTTCTTAGTCATCATTATAGGTTGTCCTAATCACCATCCAGTTGTCATGCATTAATCCGAAAACCATTCAATTCACCAATCAAAACACAGTGCCAATATGATCAAACATCCGTACTTGGAGCCCTCAAATCTCGAGATTTGGACAGTGGACTAGGCTCCAAGCACACGTATATACATTCCAACCGATACAAAGCACCCCCCCACACTTAAGCACGACATTGTCCTCAATGGAGCAGAGGGATAGATAAGGGGAACGACGTTACTGGATTGAAATGCTGCGGGAGACTGGAAGCGGACCAGTCAGCGGGAACATATGGAACGAACGGACAGTTCTGCACTAAGGGAACATCAAGAACACACTAGCAAATGTTCGTTAGGGATAAAAGTTGGCCCAGACGGCCACAAAAGAAACAATCCACAAAAGAAAAGAAACAAAACACACGACAAACTCAGTTCAAGCTCCTCAAACACATGGAGCAAACAGAAAAAGTATAAAACAAAAACACACACTGAGGGGCGACAAGTGCAGCCTACTCGTCGCCAAGGTTGTCCAGATCAATGTCATTCATGAATGCATCATCGTCATCAGCTGGTGGGGGTGGAAGTGGAGAGTCCTCCCAAGGAGTCCTCCAGACTGGCTGCTCGCCCGGTAGCAGCTGGAGCAGATGCCCCTGTACCTCCTGCATGCGCCTAGCTCGGGCCTGCTCCCTCTCGATGCGCGCCAGGGTCACCCCCTGCTGGGTCTCCATCCTATCAAGGCGCTCATCATACGCCGCCATCCTGGTCTGGTACTCGGCATGGTGAGCCGAATAATGCTGCTGAAACTGCATCTGACAGTCGTAGAGCTGCTGATTCTGGAGACGCAGCTGCTCGAACTGCTGAGAGAAGTAGTCCTGGCCGGGGAAGCTGGAACTGCCACTCCTGTACTCGAAGGTGGTGGGGCGGGCGGCAGCAGTATCATCCACGTCCTCAGGCTGGACCTCCTCATCAGCCGCACCCTCGAGAGCCTCCGGCTGGACCGCCTCTGGGATCTGAGGTTGAGGAAACCCCTCGATCCACATAACACCTCGCTGTTCTCGAAGCAGGTGCATTTTAATGATCGTAAACCGGCCAAAGGTAGTGGTGTCTCCCTGCTCTGTGCACCCCTGTAGGGATATCTGGAAGTAGTCTGCCAGGCAGGTGATGAGGGGAGTGCAGTGAAGTTTCTTCAGCTCAGAAGCACTCTTCTCGAAGGTCCTCGCCACCACCGAGCCCAAGTGGAGGGGATGATCCCTCTGGCGCATGGACTAGATGAAGTACATGGCTCTCTTGGTGATGGAGCTGGCACTGTCCGAGGCTGGAGTGTAAGACTTGGCCAGCATGTGATGGAGGATGCGGTTGTCGAGCTGCAATGTGCTAGCCTTCGTCTTCCCCGCCCTGAAGGGAAGCTGACGTGGCCGAGCGAGGCTGAAGTACAGCCTCCCGAAGTCCACCCCCGCTGGCTCGGCGCTCTCGGTGATGTAGTCCCTGTCATTGACCAGGTTGAGGCCGAGGGCGTTCGCCAGCTTGTCGTAGCTCATGGATCGTGGTTCACCGCCGAGCCGGAACTGGACGGCTTCTTCGTCCTTCCAATCGTCCGTGGCTGCGTGCTCGAAGGTAGTGTAGAACTCGAGCATGAGCTCGTGGTACACCTTCTCGCGAATGCTGAGTAGGCGGCGCCAGTAGCGGTTGGTGACAACGGGGGAGAGGTGCTCGTAGCAGTTCAGCTTCTCCAACTCTCGCTTGGACCAGCAATGATGCTGCCCAAACTTGCAGGCTAGGACGTTCTTAAAACGATCCTGGTGGGGCCCCCTTCTCAAATCCTGAACAAACTGGTGCCGGAGGTTGCTTCGTCATGGTCCTGCAAAAGAACAACCCAAAGTGGAACCAAAAGAGCCAAAGAAAATGTTAATCACACCCCCACACTTAAGAACAGAAAACAGCCTAACCATAGTTTCATCCATAGTTCGGGGGTCAAAAACTCGATAAATCAAGCATAATCTGAGTGGGGGTGCACATCCATGAAAAAGTAGGCAACTCAAGGTTCACATCCATAGCAAACACACCCTCAAAGCACATCATTAAGGGCCCCAACCGACTCCCACAAAATGGTACGAAAACAGGCATTTCATCGAACACCTTGTGTGCAATATTAAGGTAAACATGGAATTGACAAAATTCAAGCACACAAGGGCTCAAACAATCAAGGGGGACAATGCCCAACACAATTCATACATAATCCAAGCATTCCCCTCAATCAATTGCAGAAAATTATCACGATTCAAAGGGGTTCTCTAAACATGCACCCTAACACCCAATTCTCCATGAAAAACATAGTTAAGGTCAAAATCAAACCTGGAGACTCAAGTAGAGGTGTAGGGGATGATGAGGGGAATGCAATGGAAGCGACGAAAGGCCGAAAAACTGCCCGGAAGTGCTCGTCGGAGCCTCGCCGGAGTCTCGCCGGAAATCGCCTCCGGTGACTCAAAATCAAGCCAAATCACCTCAAAATCGAGGGATAGGCCGATAAGGGGGAGGAAAGGATGGGTGTGGTGTTGGTTTTGTGAAAAACCGACCAAAAATGGCCGAAAATCGACAAGGAGGGTGAAAAGTCGCGGTTTTCCGGCAAGGGGGAGAGGATTCCGGCGAGAGTTTTTGGTTTTTCTGACCACTCGGCCGTGTCGGCCGAATTTATAGGTCGTGGCTCGGCCACACGGCCAGGATCACACGGCCATGTGAGCTGCACCTTTGCCCGTGTCGGCCGACACGGGCTGGCCGAGGAATTTTCACTCGGCCGTGCCGAGTGCACATTTGGCCGTGCCAAATTGTGCGAGAGCGCACACGTCCTGGGGGAATTTCCACACGGCCATGTCACTGTCACAGCTGGCCGTGTGGAATTCTGCGAGAGCTCACACGGCCAAACCCATTTTCCACACGGCCGTGTGACATTCAGGGCTGGCCGTGTGAGCTGCCAGAACTCCGAAATTGACCTGTTTTCACTCCAGAACGACATACAACTCGAGAACAACCCCTCAAGACTCAAAAAACACAAAAAATCAAAAGGAAAAAGGTAAAAAAATGCAAACCTAGGTGGGGTTGCCTCCCCACAAGCGCTTCTTTACCGTCTTTTAGCTTGACGCCAGTAGGTGGATGCTCAATGAGGTGAAGGAGCAGATGCCTTCAAGAGCGGATCCACCTCGCTCTTGAGGTACAGCTTCAAATGGTGGCCATGAACATGACGAATGTGGCCACCAGCATTTGCCAACTCAACTTGGCCATCCGGCTGGATGCAAGTTAGTGAATACTCGGATGGCCAAGGTGGGGGCGGGACCAGCTCATAGTGGTCTCCGGCTTTCTTTCGAGCAAGCTTAGCTGCCTGGTGTTTCGGGCGCCACTCCTCCTTGATCTGTTCCTTTGATGACGGAGTGTACGGGAGTGGCGGCGAAGGTATGGGAGGCGGATCCTGCAAAATAGGAAACACAGAAGGATACACGACAGACTCGTGCTCCTGGTGAGATACAGCATGCAGAGGCGAAGAAGCAGGGGGAGTATTAGTAATTGAAAATGTTATTCGCTCCTCGCCATCCCTCAAAACTAAGGTCCCATCATGCACATCTATGAGAGCCTTGGCGGTGGCCAGGAAAGGCCTTCCCAGTATAAGGGGCACTTCTGTGTCCTCATTGATGTCCAAGACAACAAAATCTACAGGATAATTGAATTTTCCCACTTTAACCAGAAGGTCTTCCCCTATGCCCCTAGGATGCACTACAGATCGGTCAGCTAATTGAAGGCTCATCCTAGTAGCACGGGGTTCACCTAGGCCTAGTTTCTTAAACAGTTTATACGGCATAACATTGACACTAGCACCTAAATCCGCCAAGGACCTCTCTACATGCAAATTATCTATAGAGCACGGGATAGTAAAACTACCTGGGTCCTTCTGCTTCTGCGGAAGCTTGTTCTGCAGAATGGCCGAGCACTCCTCGCTGAGCTCCACAGTGGCCAGCTCGCTCAACTTCTGCTTCTTTGAGAGAAGATCCTTCAGGAACTTCGCATACTTAGGCATTTGAGAAAGTGCCTCCAGGAAGGGTACTTGGACATTCAGCTTCCTAAGCATGGCCATGAAGTTCCCGAACTCTGCATCTAGCCTGTCTTTGTGCAACCGAGTAGGGAAGGGGAGTTGAGGGATATACTCCTTCACTACTGGTTGTGGTTTAGGTGCAGGCACCTCAACCTCCTTTTCTACTTCTTCTTCAGTCACTGGAGATGCCGAGGCAGGGGCCTCCCTCTCTTGTGCCCGAACAGGTGGATCAGCAGTCATCTTTCCACTCCTGGTTGTGATAACATTGCAGTGCTCATTCGGGTTCTGCGGATGAGGGATGGTCTGACCGGGTAGAGTACCAGGAGCCCTTTGTGCCACTGCTTGAGCCACACTCCCCAGCTGGGTTTGGATATCCTGCAAGACAGCCTGTGTGTTCCTCTGGCCAGCTTCAAGAGCTAGGAATTTACCCGAGGTCTTTTCCATGAACTGCTCGATAGTGTTGAATTTCTGAGCACTAGAACTGGCGAGAGAGCCACCAAGTCCCGCAGTTCAGCCATCGGATCATTTTGCACAGGGGTGGCAGGGGTTGCACTTGGCTGCTGGAAAGGTCGCGGCTGTGATTGAGCAGCCTGCCCCTGCATGGGCTGGTAGAGAGACTGCTGCTGCTGGAATTGCCCCTGTCTGGGCTGATATGGCGGCCTCTGGAAGCCCGGTGGTCCCTGGGGGACTGGTGGTCTGGAATTTGCCCCACCCCAGGAGAAGTTGGGATGCTGGCGCCACCCCTCGTTGTAAGTGTTGCTGTAGGGGTCGTTGCGCCTAACATTATTGATGAAGTTCACCTACTCCTGGGGTGTGGTCGATTCCTTCATCGCCTGGCAATCTTCCACTGTATGATGGGTGCTCTCGCACCACTGGCAGAGCATCGCCTGCTGCTGTCCGGTCCCTGGAATCATCCCGGAACGATCGATAGCTGAAACCAGCTTCGATACCACCTGCACCAAATCAGAGGAATGGTTTCCCACAGAATGCACACCTCGGCTTGGTGCTCTCCTCGACCTCCTAGCAGTGCCCCAATCATACCCGTTCTCTGCCATCTCCTCAAAGAGTTGATTCAGCTGTGGCGGTGTTTTGGTCAGCATGTTCCCGCCACAAACTGAGTCAATCAGCTGCTTGTCTTCTGGGAAGAGGGCATGATAGAAGGTTCCCACCTTGAAAGCATCGTTGAAACCATGATTGGGACACCTCAGGAAGAGACTGTGGTATCTCTCCCAAGCATCCCGGATGGTCTCATCTTCATCCTGGGTGAAGTGGGTGATCTGCTTCTGCAAGTCCGCAGTCTTAGACGGAGGATGGTAGAGGGTAAGGAACTTGTCCGCCAGGTTGGCGAACGTGGTGATGGAGCCCGGAGGTCGAGTGTCTAGCCACTCCTTGGCCTGCCCCTCCAGGGTGAATGGGAAGTACCTCAGCTGGATGGCATCTGCTGGGACCCTATTGATCTTGATTCCATCAATGAGCTGGTGGAATTGCCTGAGATGTGATCGGGGGCACTCCCCCTCTTTGCCACGGAACATCACTGAACCGCGCAACATGGTGATTACTGAGGTGCTCACCTCAAAATTATTGGCTGGGACATGAGGGTGTTGAATGGGTGACCTCATGTCTGCAGCCCTGGCGGTCCAGTAATGTCCCATGGTATGCTCCTCGGGATTGACCACATCATGGTCCTGTGGATCAGCCATCTCCTCTTCTTCAGTGATCTGTAGCTGTGGTAGCGCCTCCTCCGCAGCCAGTCTCGCCTTTAGAGCCCGCTTGAAGTTTCTACAGGTTCGTTCAAGTTCCTGGTCTAGTGGTAGTAGATCTCCCGACTGGCTACGGGTCATGCACTACCTGCACACAATAAGCAGAAGCAACCCGTGAAGGCACACAGGTGGAAGAGATAAAATGCAGAAAAGAAAAAGCTAGAGTAACAGATTTGCACGTTTCCCCAATAACCTAGAGGTTCCCCGACAACGGCGCCAAAAACTTGACACGCCAAAACACAACACCAATCTGCGACCAAGTGTAATCGCAGACCGGGA